TTAAACCTACCCAACCAGACATAAATTATTAAGTAGATGTTTAATTTGTGTCTCATCCATGTAGACAAACTTTCCAGAGATGATGAACAGGTACAAACAGCTCCTCACATACATCAGAAGTGCTGTCACCAGGAACTTACTCCGAGAAGTCCATCAACTCCATCCTGGACCTATATCTCTACCTCCAAACAGGTAGGGATAGACAAAGTGAGACAGAACTATCCAGCTGGGCCTTTACATGTTTTGTCATTGAACCTTGCCATTTTGGATGTTTTAAATCTGTCCTCCTAAAAGTGTTTTATTTATTGCTAGATGGACTTACTACAGGAGTTCTACGAAACCACTTTGGATGCTTTGAAAGATGCAAAAAATGACAGACTGTGGTTTAAAACTAACACAAAGGTATACACAGTTTCTCCACTGATTTTTCTGATGTCCAACCATTATTTCCTAGTAAAACCGGTGCAAATAAATGCTCTTTTTCTGTCCCTCCCCTGCAGTTGGGGAAACTGTACTTGGAGAGAGAAGAGTATGGAAAACTGCAAAAGATCCTAAGGCAACTGCACCAGTCATGTCAGGTATAAGATGCATTTTGTATCCTAGTTTGTCAGTATAATGCAATAATACTTTCCCTAGGTTCAAATCAAATTAGGTTAAACCTGGCAGATGTCATAAAATATGTTGTGGCTACTGTTTTAATTGCTTGCTTATTTATTCCTGTATTATCAGTAAATAATATATATTTCCCAGGCAAGTGTAAAGCATGTGGAGATTTGACTCGGATTATGATCTTTATAAGAGATTATTTCATATGTTTGTCTTCTACAGACCGATGATGGGGAGGATGACCTGAAGAAAGGCACACAGCTGTTGGAGATTTATGCACTGGAGATCCAGATGTACACAGCACAAAAAAACAACAAGAAATTGAAAGCCCTGTATGAGCAGTCACTTCACATTAAATCTGCCATTCCTCACCCGCTCATAATGGGAGTCATCAGAGGTATCTTCCTTATTCATAGTACAGTTGTTTAACTTTGTTCAGTGCTATCTTTACTGTCTGCTGATTGACTTGTCCTTGTTTGCTCCTGACCAGAATGTGGTGGGAAGATGCATTTGAGAGAGGGTGAGTTTGAGAAAGCTCACACAGACTTCTTTGAGGCCTTTAAAAACTACGATGAGTCCGGCAGCCCAAGAAGGACGACATGCCTGAAGTACCTGGTCCTAGCCAACATGCTGATGAAATCAGGAATAAACCCTTTTGACTCACAAGAGGTATACAATTATTTCTTACTGATCAACAACTATGCATATACTGTAAAATTATGAAATATAAGAGACAAACTACTCTAGACAGACTACTCTGTGCCACATACGTTTTTTAGTTTGCAGTTGAAGTAAAAGAAAAACAGCACATCTAAAAAGCATCGAATCAGAAGAAATGCTGAAATTATTTTTGGTGTTTTCTGCCTAATTAGTTATCTCTCAAGTGAAATTGCCATACCTAACTTTTTGTATTTTTGTCCAAAGGCCAAACCATACAAAAATGACCCGGAGATCCTAGCAATGACAAACTTAGTAAGGTAAGCATACATTAATGCATTCATGGATCAGCTCTTCGTCCCGTTATTTACAATAAAAGCCTTGCAATTATATTATAGGCTTTTATTTCTACCAGTTGTAACATTATAGTCACCAATTTTATTTTGAAATCTGTTTGGTACGGCTACAGCTTCACTAAGCTGCAAAATATGAATAGTGACACTGTTGGAATTGACGTTTGTTTAACCTGACAGTCTTATCTATGTGTAAGCGAGAATGAAAGTGAATGCATCTAAACATGTTATTAACAGATCTTCTCGATAAAGACTTAAGTAATAATTATGTGCGAACCACTTTGTTCGCATTCAGTTGTAAATGATGCATGTTCCTGTTTGACTGCCTCTTCATACAACATACTTGTTGGAAATGTTACTGTTGGTGGCCAAAACTATGAAAATAGACCCAAAATGCCAGTAATGAAAAGTTTTCCACATTGTTGTGAATGTATTCTTATCTACTGGAGGCAGAAGTTTTTACTGTTTGACCTTTGGTCATATTTCAGTTTGTCATTCCTTATGGCCCAGTTTCATACTAGCTGTTACAGTTTGGTGCAGATGCCGTTTGTAAACATGTTTCAATGGATCACTTGTTTCATTTACTCTTAGTCACGAATATCAAATTGACAGCATTAATGGTACTAATATAGTTTATAACTTGCCAAACAGTGCTTAGTCGGTGCTAACAATGGTGTGCATTTCACAGTGTTTGTATAAAGAAATGAACATTGCTATTGTCTTTCCAAGCCCTTGGTTGTCTTCTGCTTCCTTGTTTGCTCTCTTTTGTTCTCATGTTGCATACATAACTGGCTGTTATTATAACTAACTGGTCTGAGATTGCTCACTTTCCAAGTATATATCTATGATTTTGAATACATAAACAAGAAACCAATAAAGCACACCCAAAACTGTTGTAAGAATAGTGTTTACAAAAATTATAATATTTCGAAATGTTTTGACAGCTATCAGGATGAGAGTTTTTGCGTGGGTCACAGAGACACAATGTACATAGTTTAACAACACTCACTGATTTTTCATTCCAGCTCCTACCAGAACAATGACATCACTGAATTTGAGAAAATCTTGAAAACAAATCACAGTAACATAATGGACGACCCCTTCATTAGAGAGCACATAGAGGGTGAGTGGTGAACGTGACTTCAGTCCACATGCGGGATAAATCTGTTGAATATTTTGTTTTCAAGTGTAGCTAATCGCTCATGTTGTGTTGCAGAGCTCCTGAGGAACATTAGAACTCAAGTACTTATCAAACTCATCAAACCGTACACGAGAATACACATCCCTTTCATTTCTAAGGTAAGTCCATGTGTTTAAAACATGTCCTGTACAGTGAATGTATCTGATATATTTAGAATATTATTAGAAAATAATTTGCACTGATTGCCATGTGACTTTGTCTTGATATGTTTAGCATGTATTTAAGCCAATCAGTCATATGATTGAAGAGAAAGGTTTACTTGGAGAAAGCACACGTTTTAAAGCAGAAGCTAATGTCGCATAATTTGCTGTGGCTTGGCAGCTAGCAACCTTTTAGTTGCGGCAGAGCTATTCACATTCCTGAAATGGCAGAAAATGTAATAAATTGGTTTCCGAAATTATCATAAAAAATACATAATGAAATCCACACATGAAAAAGCAACACTTGTATACTTAAAATAAATATACCTACATTATACAAGTCTGTATTTTGTCATTTAAATGGCTTCTTGTTTTGTGACTTTAGTTTTCTTCTAAAGTTATTGTTGAATAACTTTTATAGTTCAGGGTGTTCATTCATCCTTGTAAGAAGATTACACCATATGTCAAACCCTTTTTTTTTACAAATTAGTTCACATACTTACATATACCTTTGAAACACATCTGAAACAATATTTACAACAGCTGTGTGTTTAATCCTCTATTGTGAAATGGTGACTTGTTTTACGTTTGTGCTGATAAGTCTTGTCCTCTTCTCTTGGTTTCCAGGAGCTGAACATTGATGTGTGCGATGTGGAGAGTTTGCTGGTGCAGTGCATCTTGGATAAGTACGTTTCTGCATCACGTGGCTGCTGAGAAGTTGAATAGAAAATAGCTCTCTTCCTGTAAATAGTTCCTCATAGTTTGCCTCCTTTGGCCCTTAAGAGTGTCAGGAGGTAGGAATTGACAGATTCGGTTACATCGTATTGTTATAGTGATCTGCTATTTACAGCCTCACATCCCCGCTGAACTGGTTCTCTGACGTAAATCAAAAAAACAGATTGATCTGATAAACTCCACACTGTTGAGTATTTTTTCATTGTTGCCATCATCATCTTGAATGTTAAATGAATGGCATTTAATTAATGGCACTCATGTTAAAACAATAAATAAGTCGCGAAAAAAAAAGAAAACAAGTATTTTCCTTAAATACAGTGTTACACGGTACCATGCGTTCTCAATAAATCATGCAAAATGCCTGGTATTGTTTTTATTTGCTGCCTTTATCTGAAAATGAACAGCCAGAACTGATATACAATTGTAAATACGAGTCGGCTAAAAACTGGCTTAGTATTTCAAGACTCAATTATCAGAACTCAACTAAAATGTGTGGGAAATTAGTTCTAGAGATATTGCAACATGTGTAGTTCTTCTGCTTACTTTTGTTTTTTTCCCTTTTTCTTTTTCACAGCACAATCCACGGCCGAATTGACCAAGTCAACCAGCTACTAGAACTGGACTACCAGAAGAGAGGAGGGGCTCGCTACACAGCTTTAGATAAATGGACAAATCAGCTGAACTCTCTCAACCAAGCCATTGTCAGCAAGCTCACATGATGGCATGTAAAATTAAGAGACAAGAAAAATGGCATGTTTGAATACATCCATAAAGTATGCTACTGTGCTTCTTCAAGTAAATCCTCTGAGACGAGATACACAGCACAGGTTTTGAGAATGCCACCAATTTCAAGGAGACTCCAGGAACCACAAGAACGTGTTCAAAGTGTGTTGTTTTGTGGCGATGCGCCAAAATCACCAACACTTATTTGTGTTTTTCATGTTCCTGATTGGCAGATTCTTCCATGTGCAACACACGAATGCTTCAGTTGTTTAAAAAAAGTCCAAATGTGTATGAAAACGTGTACACAGTATTTTAATGTATACTGTTGCCTGTTGGTAATAAACAGATTTCTCTCAGCACTAAAAGGATTCAGCTGCCTTTGACTAGCAAACGTTTTAACTCTGTGACCGGCGAGTTGGAGTCAAATAAAATGTTTTTAACTGTCACTAATGAGACATAAAAGAATGTTTTTTTTCACACATTTTGAATCACTCTTCGACAGTATTTTTCTATTCATGCTCTTGACATGTTGATCTGCCAGTAAAAGCTTTTTGAGCCTCGACGGCTTCCGCTCCAGATGACTCCCATTTCCACAGTGACACCAGCCGTTAGCTCGCTCGCACCAGAGCTAGCAGCTAGTCGGTGGAGAGACAGCCAGCTGACGCAGCAGCAGCTAGCGGTTCTTAGGAACTGGGTGTGAGTCTTCAGTGATACTTATTATTCACAATGAAGAAATTAAAAGAGCCCACATCCTGACGTCTACATTTTGGCCAATGACCGTATGTCGCGGTGTCGTTGACTGACATGGACGCTAGTGACAACAAGGTACAGTTTATTCTGAAATGATCAGTGTTTTTGTATGGAGCTGTAGCCTGTGGAAGAAGAAGGGGCATAACGCTAGTTTACGCTGTCGAGGCCCAGCATCGTACTGTTAAAACGTCATCATTAAAAACATAAGCCACTATTACCTTATTGTAATTATTACCAGTTGAGAGGTTTAAATCTGATATTTGTGTCTGTAACCATACAAACGGCGCACTATGTTTCGGTGCTTTTCACGAGGCAGCAACAGTTATCCAGTTTGGCTAGCAAGCTAAGGCAGCTAACGGTGACCGCAGCTTATTACAACGCGGATAAAGCATTCCTGTCTTTTGTCACAGTTCATGTATTTTTGGCCATTTTACAAAATGACTATCGATTTGCATGACAATAATCCCGTATGATAAAACCCGAAAGACAGTTTGTGTTAACATTTAGCCTGGAGAGCTAGCTAGTCTTAAAGCTAAACATATCAGCTGTCATTTGACGGAGCTAGTCATGTTAATTGACACATACAGCTAGCAGTGTTTTTTGTCAAATGTGTGGTTTGGTCCGAATTTGGAGAGGTGACCAAAAGGTTTCACCTGAGTGACTGTCAGGAATGTGTGCACGATGAGAGCTTTGTTATTGTCAGAAGAGGCGGAGAGGTTTCGTGCATCGTGAGTAGAGGAATATCTGGTTCTGCTGCATGCATAGCATTCTTCTGACGATGTTTGCAATGCAGAGAGTTCGGTTTTGTCGCTGTTTGGTTGTTGTCCCAACGAGTATTGACAATACCTGAGATTACACTCCTTTAGCTGGTACATCTCATGATGCAGTTTCCTGACACTATAGGGGCTCCTATATTTATGTGAGATTGAATGCATCTGAAAATGTGTATTCAAGTTGTGTGCTAATCATCAGTTCTGGTTTCATTAAGTGAAACCCCCTTAAAAGCTTTATGCTTTAGTTTCTAAACAAAACCATCCGGCTCTCAGTACAGAAACGGTCTGTTGGTGTTTGAAAGCAACTGGTGTGAGAATACGTGCTTACACAAACAGAGGCTTGTGAGATTAGAAGCTCCCACTCTAATCACTCTGAAATCTCTCATCCCCAATGAATGCACATCTGGGTCTGACCTCATAGCCTGTTCCACAATCACAGCTATTCTCACTAACACAGAGATACTACAAAGACACACTTGGGTCTCAAGAGATGGATCTGCTGGCCAGCTCTGTTTTACCTCAAAAAGTACACAGATTCTTTCTGTATAATTATCTTATCCTACCTTATCCTCTCAAACTTAATCCTATAATAACAGCCTATCAGCTATACTGTACCATCGCACAAGTTCAGACAAACTACTGCAGTACTAAACCCTTCCAGATATATTTGTCTGGGCATGGAAGCTGTAACTACCTGGAGGTTTGTAAATATCTTTCCTCAAGACTGTAGGTTGATTTTCTTCACCACGCACCATTTACAATGATTTTATTTAGTTCGGATGTGATCTATAGATTATTTAAGTCAAGTGAGGACACCACCCACGGACAGTAGCATGGGAGACAATAGCTGTCTGTGTGACATCCACTGGCTACACTGATGACTATTCATGCATCCTGACCACTGTTTCAGAGAAGTGTGGACGTCTTTGTCCTCGGAACCCTGTCACCTCTCCTCATCCTTTGCAAAAAATAGCAGATTATTTTAACGAGACCTCTTCGGCCGAGCTGCCACCTCGGGTCAGGCCGATGCCTCCATGATGTTAAGTTAGGAGCAGTCCGAGGTGTGAAAGATGCTCCCAGACAGCAGTGACTAAATAACACAGCTGCCCTTCCTGTACTTAAATAAGTGGGAAAATGTTGTTTTTAGTTGGCAATTTGAACAATAATTAAATAACATAATAATCCAGTTTATTCATGTAGCTTATCAAAAGCAACGGTAAAAAGTGCTTCACCACAAACACTTTAATCAATACACTAAAGTATTTGCCTTACCAGGAAAGCAAAAGCATTAGATAAATAAACATAAAACATTTAATGATGACACTTTTCTTTATTCTATATGTCAAGAACAAATCGCAGTGTAAATCCATTATTACGAATAAACATTGACTTCAAAATGGAACGAAGGCATTTGATATAGATGCATCTTCAAAGTGATTTAAAAGAAGCAAAATGGAGTTCCTCAGGCACATGCTCAGTCCCCTTTTACCGTTCACAGTGTTTGTGTTTTTAAGGAGGACTCCTTGATAAGTTACTTGGTTTGACAAGCGTCAAAGGAAATGGAAGCTATTACATTTATTCTGACATTAAAAAACACAATATTATATTTATAAGTTAAAAGTTATTTATTTGTCATAAAGAGGAACATTCAATATATCAAAATCATTTTAAAATTCACAATAATTAACACTATGACTTTAAAATAAGGATCTGTTTAAAGGTGTGTAATAAAATCTAGGATACTCTGTTGAATTGTACATGTAATATTCAGTTTTATACATGAAAACAATGGCATGCTTTCGGATAGATTATTTATTTATGACTAAGCATTATTTTTCGCAGCTGTGTTTCTCTCTTTTTTGAAAAAATGTCTTTAGTGGCTAATTAAGATTTGAAGTACTTTAGTGTTTCCGACCCAAGCCTGCCTTGGAGTGCCCGGCCCTCTAATCTTCAGCCTTTCTGGAGCCCGCTGTACCACTTCTACTGCACAGCTGCTGTTGGGCCATCAATCCAGAAGAAGTGACTTGGAGAGGACATTCTTGTGGCTTTGCCTGTCATAAATGTCCCACTTTTAAAACAAATGTGCCTTATTGATTTATTCCTAAAGCTTTTAGTTTCCAGAACTTGGATGTTTTTTTTTTTTTTTAAATTGTTCTCATACGTTTAGAACTGTTTAGTTATTTGTATGTTGCTCATAATCTGGCAGCTGTCCCTGGGACGTCTCAATCCATACTATTAACTTGGGTGTGTTTTAAATATATTTAGCCATACATGGCAGCCTTTAAAAAAAAAAAAGAGTTATTTTTGGCTTTGAGCTAAAGAGACTTACCTAATTTGACCATATTAACAAGAAGCTGCTCATTGTTTATATCCTTCACCACTGTTTATCTAGCTGCAGATGTCTTAGTCACTTGAGAAATTGACTGTCAAAAATAGCTGGAGCCCTTTTTTGACATGTTGTGTACATTGCAGTTGTATCACGTGACGTCTTTAACCTTTTAAAGGTTTTTATCTCTGATACGTTTTTATTGATGATGGTACACACTTAAGACTGTAAACCAACTGGAACCGTATAAGGAGTCGGTGCTTAGCTGGGAGGAACACTAACCAAATGAAAGATTGTTTAGTAAACCATCTACAGCCCTCTCTGTCAAACTTTCTCAAGTTAATAACCTTTAAATGCCTCGGCATAGATCTTTCTCTTTTTGTTTGCAGGATTGGTCATATTCTTGTAAATGTAATGTCTTAGCAAGATGACTTCACAAACTACACAAACCTACCCTTACAATAAAGCCAATCGTTGGATAAATGTTGGTGAATTTCCATTACTATGTTGATTCCACTCTAAAACGAACACTTTCCATCCAATGGAATTACAAATAATGAATTAAAAGGATCCCCAGTACCGTGTCAATACAGAGAATGTGCTGCTGACTGACTTGGGCAACCTTGTTTGACAGATATCTCTGCTTTTTGGAGTAGACCTAACTTCTCAGTCAATGAACCATGTAGTCATTAATGAGTAACAACTGGTTTTTTTTGTCATGGGTGCAGGATGTGAAGCTTTCAGCCGAAGTGGAACCGTTCATCCCACAGAAGAAAGATCTTGAAGGATCCCTTGCCAGAATGAGTCTTTCTGGAGAGGCAGGAGGAGGAGGAGGGGGCGGAGGTTTAGGAGGAAATGGAGGAGGCGTGGAAACCACTCCCATACCCAGCTACCTCATCACCTGCTACCCTTTCGTCCAGGAAAATCAACCCAACAGGTACTGTCTCACTTTCATAAGGGGGTTTTAGTAATGGGAGATATTTTGAAGCATTCATTTGAACCCATTAAACTCTGATTAAATGGCACCAGTGGTTCTCGTCTATGATAGTTATGTATTTTGCAGATTCCATGTGGTATTGTGGGACGCCTGGTGTCCCCATTTCAAACTGGAACTTTCTATTTGAAGAAAAACCCATTCCCTGCGCTGTCTTCTACAATAATATTGAAAAGAAGATGAAAACACAGCATGCCTAGTGAGATCACAATCACATCCTTTGTGCACAACAGTGCATTGGTTTAGATCTGTTAGATTGCACACTATTTTAGGGCAGCTTGATTATGAATGGAAACCTCAATCTATTACATGGAACCACAATCTATGTTTCCAGTGGCTCTTTCTTTGTCCGGAGTGATCTGCTGTATCCTTGCACACATCCGTTCCTTTGTTTCCTTTCCCCCTATTTGAATGCGAGGAAATGGCCGGTATAGTAGGCTGGCTGTGGAAATGTCATTTGGATCCTTATCAACATTTCTGCATACCGTGAACACACCCCCTAACAAATTGACCATCATGCAAATCACTGCAGCATCAAAAATATTAACCAGTGGAATGTCAGTCTTACAAAAAGCAACTTTAAATTTATATTTAAATACTTTTTTTTATTTTTAAGTATGATCATTTATGTTTTAATTAGGGATACATCTTTAAAGGCCATTTTGGATTCAAACCTCTCTGCACAATGTGCAAACATTTCCTTATTTTACAAAACACATGGATGTGGTGGATGTCCTAGAGACAATACAAACTGAGAATGTTTAAAATACAGGAAACAAAGATGAGTTTGAGATTCTTAACAATGAATTACAGCTAATCAAGCTATAATCTCTTCCTTACCAACATAACAGTGCATACTTAAAATTGACGAACAAAAAACATTTGACACCTAAAGACCTTAGTATCACAACAACATGACCTGCAGCACAGCCTTTCTTTATTGTTTTACATCATATTTTGTAGGGATGCTCCGATCGCCAATTTCGGGGCCGATCGCCGGAATCAGTATCGGCCGATACTGATCGCCGATCCGATCGAGTGGGCGGGGCCTAAATGGAAGATTTAAACATCACTTTAAATCTTCCATTTAAAGTGATGTTTAAAACTCAGTTAATGGGGCTCATTCACTGGAGCTTCCACAAACAACAATCAACTTAATTATTACATTCAAATGAAGTACATTATTCAAGTTTACATTCACTTTGGAGAATAACACGGGAGAAATTAGCGGAAGCGCTCTCTTTTCCTCTCCCCCTCTCTCTCCCTCTCCTGACAGCCTGTCAGTATCTCATGCAGCTCACTGATCCAGTAAGAGTGACCCGACAATGAAGAATACATATATTTATAATAACTAGTTTAGCTTGTTCCAGAGGTAGATAAAATAGCTAAGTGTGTTAGGTCTAACTCTTACGGTACGTCCACACAGCAGCTTTTCAAAAATCTTGAAAATCTTGGAGCTGGGCGTGTCTGAAAGCTTGGGGATTTTTTGCGAGCAACGCGACCAACAACCAATCACATGAATCTCCCGCCCCCGACATACAAAGCAAAAAGCCCCGGGGATTTTATGCGAGCAATATATATATATAAACAGGGCTGCACATAACTGGTGCGCAGGTGCGCATGCGCACCTCGGCCAAAAAAAGAGCACCGGGTCATTTGAAAACAAACGCATTTGCGTACCAACATTGAGAGAGAGAAAGATATTTGCGAGTTGCATATGAACTCAGGGCCGGCCCGTCGCACTGGCGTTGATTTTCGCCTAGGGCGCCAGATCTGTGGACATTTTTGACTGTTGGTGCTCATCCTAATTTTCGGCCTTGATGTAACAACATTCATAATTAAGTAAATGTAACACCCTTTTCACCCCGGTTACACGTTTAATTTGCCCTGTACGATGGGCGCTGTAAGAGATGAAAATGGGGGATGTTGGCTTGTCTGGCGCCCGCAGCTCACAGCCAAAATGCGAGTGAGCGAGGGAGAGAGGGAGGGTGCACCGGTACCGGCGCTGTTGTTATTAGAATCTGGTGCTAGCTGCGGATATAAGAAGAAGATGTTTCTACAATGATGTGGAGGGAGAGTCCTGTCCAGTCAGACCGAGAGACTGATAACTACAGCTCAGTGAGGTAAGGACTCTGAGTGTTTAGATAGTTCACTTTAGTCTAAGTTCAAACGGTTTGGTCACAATTTATGTAAACACATATTTTCAAGGCACTCCTTTATAATTATTGGGATAAACAGGTTTGAAATCATTCCAATGTATACTATAGGACAGTAACCAAACATATCCTTTTAAAACTGGACTTTCAACCCAAAACCAGCTGTTGACTTGTGGATGCAAGCAGCTAATCGCAGACTCAACCAGAGAGAAAGTAGTAGGCCTACATCATCAGCTACCATGTCTGACAGAGAGGAAGACAGTGAGGAGAACAGTCAGGAGGGTAGTGATGACAGCTTGTAGGATTACTGGTCGTGCTAATGTTGTCTTGTGTTCGCCTCTGCATGTGTGTTCTGTGTTCACCTCTGTGTGTTCTGTGCCGTGTGTCTGACAAATAAAGACCGGTTTATTTATTTCATTTTAAGGATGAGCACCAAGCAACATCTCCAGGTGCTCCTTTGAGAACCAGGGCAATAAAGTTATGTGCACCCCTGTATATAAACTCCCCAAACAGGCGAAAACTTACCAGTTTCACCCACTGTCTCTGCCACCTCCCTCCATGCCTGGTTCCTCCGGTTTGTATCCCGTTAATAGTTCTGGTCGTAAAGAACCGGGTGATTTGCTACCGTAATTTCTCGTTTGGAATATGAGGAAATGAACTGCGGTCTGGTTCTCCCTGTGTGTGTGTTTCGTTCCGCTTACCTGTCCGGCGGGCGGAGCTGCAGGATTTCTGCTTCACACACGTTGCATACCGCTATTTTACTGTCTTTTTCGGACACCTTAAAATAATGCCAGACCGGTGAAGCCATTTTGGCGAGCTTGTTTTGCCGCACACAGAGAAAAGTGTCATGTATTTTACGTCATGCGATCGGCTCTCGCGATCGGCATGTTTAGAGAGCACCGATCGATCGGTAGAGAGTGAGTATCGGCCGATATCGATCGGAGACCGATCGATCGGAGCATCCCTAATATTTTGTAAAGTGTCCTGCAGTATTAGTATGGGAGTGCCCATGCTAATATAATGTGATTCCTCTCTTCCCCTTCACAGGCAACATCCTATGTATAATGGAGGGGAGCTGCGCTGGCAGCAGCCTAACCCCAGCCCCGGAGGGTCATACCTGGCTTACCCCATCATGTCTTCACCCCAGCCTCCTGTCTCCAATGACTACGCTTACTACCAGATTATGCCTGCTCCCTGCCCTCCTGTGATGGGCTTCTACCAGCCCTTCCATGGAACCTATGGTGGTCCTGTGCAAGCTGGAGTGGTCAACCCTGTGTCTGCAGATGTTGCTGAAAGACCACTCTCTCTGGGGCCTGCATACGGGATGGGCAGGGGGAGAGGCATGGTCCGACCGAATGTTATCCCAAAGGTAAAGAAGGACACCATCCATGTTTTATTGCTGTGACAATGATACCATTGTATTTGTAATACTAACAAGTGTACCTCTTTATGCACCACCTCTTAATCTTTCTCATACAGCAACAGTTAGGTATGTGCCTGCCTCCAAGAGGTCGCCGGCCTCCGACCAGGAGTGTGGCCGTGCAGAAGGAGGTGTGCACTTTGGGGCCTGATGGGAGGACTAAGACAGTCATGTTGGTGGATGCAGCACAGCAAACCGGTAAGAATACTAAGGCAATAAATAAAGGTGCAGAACATTCCGTTTTATTTTAATAATAAAAAACGGTGCCAACTTTAGATAAAGATCTGTTTATTGTTTGTAGCAGTGGGAATATTCTGAGCCTGAGTTTCCAGTTAAGTGAACGGCCAACGTCAGCAATGTTCTCAGTCATTCAATTAATTCAATGCAAGGCTTTATTGTCATGTGCACAGTAGGGGTTTCACCAACTAATCGACTAGTCGACTACCTTTACCACTAGTCGGCGCTGTAGGCCCTAGTCAACTAGTCGTGAAAAAAATGGAGGTAAACGACGTGCTGCAAAATGCTTCAAAACACGTCCGACATTCTTATGTATGGCAGTACTTCAACAAAGATGTAACTAACTCCACAGTGAAGTGTCAGTTGTGTACAGCTGTACTGAAGTACAACAAAAATACAATGCTATGCGCAACCATCTGAAGATGAGACACCCGCTGCCGACAGCTAGCACTAGCAGTAATGCTAGCACCAGTGAGCAACGGACCGGCGTCAGGACAGGACAGAGGCAGACGAGCAGCAAGAAAAAACGGGTCTACAGTGATGTGGATGATGAGCTAGGGTTTACTGCCAGCGGACACCGCATATCCCCACAATGGATAACCCACTGGAGTGGTGGGCAGAAAACGTGCACCGCGTCCCCCGTTTAGCCAAGCTTTCGAGGAGCTATTCCAGCCACAGGCACCCCGAGTGAGAGGGTTTTTTCCCTGGCAGGCAACACTGTCACCCGAAAGCGGTCAAGCCTCCTTCCCTCACATGTCGATGCGTTGGTGTTCTTCAACGCAAACCAAAAACCTGGAAAGGTGGACGTTATCGTGGAGGACAGCGAGTAAAGTGTTGCGCAATGCGCTGTTGCGCACTGGATTTACGTGGCATTTCAGTAAACAGTTTTTTGCTGTCGATTTTGGTGAGTCCAGTTACTGTTTGTTATTTACTCAGCCATGTAACACAAATTAAAATGCAGTGTTTAATGTAACTGTATGAGTTCCGATATAAAATACAGTTGTACACCTCTCTTTGTGTGTCTTTATTATGAGGTAACGACTAGTCGACTGCTATTTTGAAAAACGTGTCGACTAGTAAATATTGGTAGTTGTGAAACCCCTAGTGCACAGTAGCTACAGTGTAGATATGGCAATGAGAAACTTAAGTCCTAGGCTCCTCCAACAATGCAACATGAATGTATATATATATATATATATATATATACAGTGCAGCAAAAAAGTATTTAGTCAGCCACCAATTGTGCAAGTTCTCCCACTTAAAAAGATGAGGCCTGTAATTTTCATCCTAGGTACACTTCAACTATGAGAGACAAAATGAGAAAAAAAAAAATCCAGAAAATCACATTGTCTGATTTTTAAAGAATTTATTTGCAAATTGTGGTGGAAAATAAGTATTTGGTCAATAACAAAAGTTCATCTCAATACTTTGTTATATACCCTTTGTTGGCAATGACAGAGGTCAAACGTTTTCTGTAACGGAGCGTCCACACTACAGCTTCAAAAAAAGCTTGGAGCTGGGCGTGTCTGAAGCTTGGGGATTTTATTCGAGCAACGCGACCAATCACATGAATCTCCCGCCCCCGACATACAAAGCAAAAACCCCCGGGGATTTTATGCGAGCAATATATATAAACTCCCCAAACAGGCGAAAACCTACCAGTTTCACCCTCTGTCTCTGCCACCTCCCTCCATGCCTGGTTCCTCCAGTTTGTATCCCGGTAGGTGAAGAGGGTCTGGTCATACACAACCGGGTGATTTGCTACGGCGATAAATAGTTTCTCCTCCATCTTTTTTTGAAATATAGAAATCAACGGCGGGATATCTCTCCCAGCTTAGACGCGGTTTGATTGGCTAGCGCTTGAGCTGTCAGATTTTCAGAAACGGGATTTGATTGGCTGGTGCTGGCTACTCCGGCGTCAGAAGTTGAACATTGTTCAACTTCTGACGCCGAAGACGGCGGAGACGAACCGCTATGCTACCCACAATTCAGTTCGGCGAAAAGCGAGGCAACGTGACGTCACCCCATTCAAAGTGAATGGGCAGACGCGTTGGAAACTGTTTTTGAAGCTGTCGACGCTGTAGTGTGGACGCAGCGTAAGTCTTCACAAGGTTTTCACACACTGTTGCTGGTATTTTGGCCCATTCCTCCATGCAGATCTCCTCTAGAGCAGTGATGTTTTGGGGCTGTCGATGGGCAACACAGACTTTCAACTCCCTCCAAAGATTTTCTATGGGGTATTGGGGCGGATCTAGAAAAATATTCATGGGGTGGCAAGAGGGTGGCAGGAGAATTTCAGGGGTGGCATCCCCTGGCAGAAGTATATGCTGATTTAATCGCAGTCATATCAATCAATGTTAACTTGGAAAGCCACAATATTGATATTTTAACTCAATAAAATTAGGTGACATTATTGTGGCACATCAGTAAAGCCTTACATATAAATATATAAGGTGGCAGACATAATTTAATGAATTTTAACTGCATGAGTTGGTTTCACTAATAGACCAGCAGGTGTACCAAATATATGCAGACTGCTGCAATAAGTACATTAATTAACTGTCTCGTCGATGTTTGTCTGTATGAATATGATAATATTAACAATCATATTATTCCTATCAGCTGTCAATCACTGTTATGATTCACATATTCAGTGTTATTATTAAATAAACTATATTTTTTGGAGGAGTTAATGATGAATGTTCCTCAAGATGCTTGCTCACCCTCCTTCAAATTTGAAAGACAAGTAATTACTATCATATATCAAAAGAACAGTTCAGCGCCCCACGACTTCATTGCAAACACTTACAATCTTGACTTTACATCAGAAAGAACAAACATTAAAGAAGTGACTAACTGCATCAGTTAGGGTTAAAAAACATGTATTCAGCTAAAACATAAACATCGCTACAGTTATTATCCAGTGGAGAGTCCTTACCCACTGGCCTAGTTAAATCAAAGTGGTTACTTTTTTTTGGCTGGGCAGTGAAGTTTTACACACTGTCTTATTTGACTTTCTCAGGACTTGAAACTGTTTTTTGGGGGCAGACCCCCTCAAAGAAGAAAAATATATTTACACGTAAGGTCATCATCTTAACAGTTTATTATTCTCATCGACTCATCCGTGAGCAGAGCACCAAGTTGGCATGCCTATAACAGCTGAATGTGGCGATTACCATCTTGATCAGCAAAACGCCTCACTTATTAAGATTTAAAGCTATGGTGCGTTTTGATTCAATGCTGAGTACAGCCAAACTTGACAGGCTCTTCTCTGTCATTGTAGACTGCAAACAGTGGCGGCGCCAGAGTATTTGTGTTGGGTAATCTATGGTAGGGCTAACCCATACAGTGGTGGAGCTCAAGTCAGTATTTGCAATGTAATTACATACACGCTCCCCTTGACAGGGAAACGCCACGCGTGAGGTTTAGATTATTTCCCTGTCTCAATCCAAATTGAACTGTATGAAATAAAAAGGCACATTTGTCTTGTAGTAAATAAAAAGGGCGACCTGGAGCCAATCCTGCAATTTACCCACAAGTGAAAGAGTTGACATGCTGAAAACCCAACCCCTGCAGGGGGGTCTGGGGGGATTCTCCCCCAGGAGATTTTTTGAAATACTAACATAAAATACACATTCTGGTACTCTCTTGAGAAGAAAAATAAATAAATCTATTGCAACATATTTTTAAAAATGAATGCCATTTTAGTTTTTTGTTACTTTGTTCTGAAAGCTGAACCTGCTGCTACTCACAGAGAGAAGAGGGAAGAGGCTGTGAATTACTTTACATTGTGGATAAGGGTGGATAGCCCCCATTGTTCTGTGTGTCAAAATGAAAGACAGCCCACACACCTATCAATCATCAAACCGTGGGGTCTTATTTCATTACGTGTTGATTTTTATCAACACGTAATGTTGTATCGATGTATATAGAGATGTACTACCACAAAAGTATTCTCCGTCGGGACTTCCTGCAACAACACCACGCCGTTATCTTGATTCTGATTGGCCAGAAGACATTATCAAAGATGTTCTATTGAGAAGACGATCACTACGTGACAAAAGTTTTAAAAAACGTTTCTAGTCTTCGGTATTTCCAGAGAAGTGGCTACTGAAATCAATCTTACTAACTGCTGTCTGTGCAATTTACTCCGCGAGTTGGCAGACTTTATTTTGCTTACTTTAACATCATTTTTCATGGGGCTAAGGTGGGGCTAAGGTGGGGCTAAGCTTGCCCCAGCCTGACCTTGACCGCAAATACCTCATTCCTTCCATCTACTTGGATCCAAAATGCTTCTCGTTTTGCGCTGTCCCCCCGTTCAATCATATTTCAGCGCTTGCGCCAGGGTGCGGAGGGGTTACAAGGCTCGCGTCTTGTGCTGCATTCACTTGCACTCGGACAACAGAGATTTTCTCTCATAAATGTCCGATGAGCCACAACTTTTCTTTCAAAACAAAGCTGCCAACTGGGGTGGCAAGGCATTTTTCTGAGGTGGCAGCTGCCACCCCGTGCCACCCCGTAGAACCGCCACCGTGGGGTTGAGATCTGGAGACTGGCTAGGCCACTCCAGGACCTTGAAATGCTTCTTACGAAGCCACTCCTTCGTTTCCCGGGCGGTGTGTTTGGGATCATTGTCATGCTGAAAGACCCAGCCACGTTTCATCTTCAATGCCCTTGCTGATGGAAGGAGGTTGTCACTCAAAATCTCACGATACATGGCCCCATTCATTCTTTCCTTTACATGGATCAGTCGTCCTGGTCCCTTTGCAGAAAAACAGCCCCAAAGCATGATGTTTCCACCCCCATGTTTCACAGTAGGTATGGTGTTCTTTGGATGCAACTCAGCATTATTTCTCCTCCAAACACGTCTAGTTGAGTTTTTACCAAAAGGTTCTATTTTGGTTTCATCTGACCATATGACATTCTCCCAATCCTCTTCTGGATCATCTAAATGCTCTCTAGCAAACTTCAGACGGGCCTGGACATGTACTGGCTTAAGCAGGGGGACATGTCTGGCACTGCAGGATTTGAGTCCCTGGCGGCGCAGTGTGTTACTGATGGTAGCCTTTGTTACTTTGGTCCCAGCTCTCTGCAGGCCATTGACTAGGTCCCCCCGTGTGGTTCTGGGATTTTTGCTCACCGTTCTTGTGATCATTTTGACCCCACGGGGTGAGATCTTGCGTGGAGCCCCAGATCGAGGGAGATTATCAGTGGTCTTGTATGTCTTCCATTTTCTAATAATTGCTCCCACAGTTGATTTCTTCACACCAAGCTGCTTACCTATTGCAGATTCAGTCTTCCCAGCCTGGTGCAGGTCTACAATTTTGTTTCTGGTGTCCTTTGACAGCTCTTTGGTCTTGGCCATAGTGGAGTTTGGAGTGTGACTGTTTGAGGTTGTGGACAGGTGTCTTTTATACTGATAAGGAGTTCAAACAGGTGCCATTAATACAGTTAACAAGTGGAGGACAGAGGAGGCTCTTAAAGAAGAAGTTACAGGTCTGTGAGAGCCAGAAATCTTGTTTGTTTGTAGGTGACCAAATACTTATTTTACCGAGGAATTTACCAATTAATTCATTACAAATCCTACAATGTGATTTCCTGGATTCTTTCCCCCCATTCTGTCTCTCATAGTTGAAGTGTACCTAGGATGAAAATTACAGGCCTCTCATCTTTTTAAGTGGGAGAACTTGCACAATTGGTGGCTGACTAAATACTTTTTTGCCCCACTGTATATATATATATATATAAAACAAATAGTTTAATAGAAATAAAATAGTGCAAAAGAATGTTGTGAGATGTGAAAGTAAATACAGATCTAAACTTCATTCCTGTGGCTGAGAGGAGTTTGAGGCTTAAAACATTCCAGACTTTTTTAAAGGTGTCTGTTTGTCTGTGAACAAAGAATCTTTCCAGTCAGAGAGGAAGCACGACACAGTGCCAGTAAGAGAGGCGTCTTATCCTACACTGATGATGCTCATGCTTCACTTCTGAAAGAGAGGGAATGCAGAGTTTCCAGTTGGGGAGCTTAAAATGTTTGCAGCTCATGATGTCAACAGTGATGTCTCTGTTCTAATGAACATGTGTCACAAATATGACTTGGCTTGTTTTTAGGTAACACATAAATCATCTCCAATTGTCACCTATTTACAGCTTGGTCTATACATCCCTATACAAATGTACATCTGATTCATCCCTTTTTAAATGTGGCTTTATGAATGAATTGATTCATTTTTATTTTTATTCAAATATATATTTGTTCATTTTCTAAGAAAAAAAGTATTAGTATGTATTTTATACCTATTTCACTATTTATATCTAGGATCCATTTCTTACGTTAGTTATTTCCTTCTATACATATTTAATGAGCATTGTTGCAGCGAGACAAACGCCAACAACTGCATCTCTGTGATTGTTGTGCACAAGGCAATAGAGAACTTGAAACCTGATCTACTATATTTAAAGTCCTTTTGTTATCTTATATTGACGATTATAGAAGTTGTATTATTTTGTATCAGGTCTAATCTTCTCTGACTGTGTCCTCAGATTTCCAAGGTGAGTTGTCTGGGCGTTGTGCTGCTGAGCAAGCCAGTCCCCTGCTCTGGAAAAGCCGAACCAAGAGAAGAAGGGCGTCCCATCCCTCTGAGAGCTACGAGCAGGGCGCCAGCGAGGCAGATATAGACAGCGACAGCGGCTACTGCAGCCCCAAACACAACCAGGCTGCCGGGGTAACACAGCGAACAGCAGAGAGCTCAGCAGCTCCAGCAGTAAGTTGGCTACTTACCATCGGCAACAGGGTAACAGACACACTCTAGAAATGTTTAAACTCATAATCCCATAATTATTTAGCTTGTGGATATCACACAAAAGCATTTACCTGAAACACGTCTAGAGTATATCTTTAAAGGGCTGCTTACTATTAGAGTCATGGCAGTTTTTAAAGGTAATTCTGTCTGGGAGCCCTGTAAACAAACAGCATATAGCTTCAATAAAAATGGTATCTTCTAGGGATGCACGATATTGGTTTTTTGAAACTGATACCGATAACTTCCTGCTTCTCAAGACCGATACTGATACCGATAACCGATAATAATATAATATCATATATATTAAATGTACCTGTAGTTTTTGCACACCTGGTGGTAAAAAAAAGACTAGTAGTGAGCAAATGACATGAGCATTACTACTATGAACAAAACAAAGCCAAGAACAGTTTTGACTCTTCAAAGTGACCATATTTATTTTCCCAAATAAATATAATTGAGTCAATGTCAATGACAATGTGTTTTCCTGAACAATGAGTGAACAATGAGTGGTCCATATTAAGAAATGGAAACAACTATTACCTGGCATTTATAGGACAGCAAGCCTATCAAACATTTGCCAAAATAAATCAAACAAAAACAATTTGACAACCTGTCAAATAGATTGTAAAATGTAAACATTTGCCATAGTAAGGTGCATCACTCAGTGATATAAAAATGGATGGATTTGTGAAAAACTCCCCTCTTCCTAAACCACTAATACCACAGTACTGGCAAAACGGGAGGAGCCGAGTGAAAAACAAGCGCCCCTCATCTCAATCCACCCACACCGCAGTATATTTTTCTTTTTTTTACCCAAAAAATATATTGTATATTATCGGGGCTATTAATACTTTTATCGGGTTTATCGGGATGACGTCATAATTCCTAATATCGGACCGATAATTATCGGGCCGATAATTATCGTGCCCCACTAGTATCTTCTAAAGAAACAAAGGTCAGAGATTTGAGAGATAACATGTCACCACATAAATACTCCTCTTGTGTCACAGCACTGTACAGGGCAATACCAATCAGGGAAATGTAATACAATAATTGAATGACTTCTCGCTGTGTTATTAAAACATTTCACATACTCATGATTTCTCAATTTGTCTTATTTTCCTCTACCTTCTCCACATGTCTGTGTTGTATAGGGAGTGGAGGCTGGTGTAATGACAGGTAAGTTTGACAACACAAAGTGTATTACCCTTCCTTCCCCCGCCATGTTCACACAAGGCTTTGACATAATATATTACAAATGAATGGAGATAATAATTACTAATCATTGTTTTCATTCATTAGCAGGTACATGGGTTAATGCAGCCTCTCAGGCTACCCAGAAGTCCTGGGGAGACAGGAACGGACACTTTCACAGAGCAGACCAGAGGAAACATCCTGAACAGAGAAACTTCTCACAGGTACAGTAAATCCACTTTGAGAGGAGGGTTATGTATGTCAGAAGAACAACTGGTATTTTGAGAATGGTTGAAATGCAATCATTTTGGTCCTAAGTGGCAGTGAAACTTACTGACCAGCAGATGAGGAATGAATGTACAGTGACTCTCTATTCTAATTGTCTGTTACATAGCCCACGTGTTCATAATGGTCTTAGTTTTTATGATTGCAATTGAAGATATCATTTATCAGAATTTGTGCTACTGGACATCCAATTACATAACTTTTAGATGTGAGTAGAGGGCTGTTGTAAATCTAAACACATCTCTCACATCATTATATCTGTACTGTCCATCACACATACTAGTGTAGAAAGTATTATTATTATTAAAAGTTTCTCCAGAGTCTGTCGTGATGCAGAGCCACTCACTCTGTCTGTAGGAATTGGCCTGCAAACTGTGCTCTGCTCTCTCTTTTACCAACAGGTTTCCTTCACTTGACACAGGATAATAAACACATGAAACACCAGTGATACCCTTTTTAACTCCTGTGTTATCTCCCCTCTGCCTTTTTCAGGATTTCCACAGTGGTTATCAAGGGCGTTTGCCGCTGAACCAATCAGAACACAGGATGCAGCCAGCAGCTGTTACAGAGCTCACACCAGAGCCCCTCTACTTTGAGGTGAGAAGTTTCATTAACACAGTTTAATATAGATGTATTTTAGGCTTTTTTGATTGTTTTGCTCAAATGTAATCTACATGTTTGTCAGGATGAAGATGAGTTCCCAGATCTGGCTACTGCAGGGGCGGCCCAACGCAGCAGCAAACCAGAGTCTGCTGCAGCCCAGACACACATGCATCCTAAGCTGCACAAAAACCTGGTGAGGGAAAGCTTTCTGAAGGCCTCTGTCAATCTCTGCCTCTCAGATGGTAGATTGCTATAATAGAGAGTATTGTCATTTATTGTGTATATTTGATAGTGTGTGGATACTCTAAATATATGTATTTTCTACTGAGAATATGTAGATTTAGTTTTCTTATTGTTTATTTTTAAAGTATTTGTATTATATTCTATTTTTAAGACATTTTGTGATTCTTGTACATTGACTTGTACATTGATATGCTGCTGTAACAAAACTATTCCCCAACTTGGGATAAATAATAATTGTATACATAATAAGATACACATTTTATACATCATATACGGTATAAAGATATAATGTTTTAAAGTTATTAAATGAAGAAGAAGATAACAATACAAATAGATTTAGCTCCGCATAGGATTTGATGTTTTACTTTTTTTATTGCCTGACATAAATCAATTGTTATTAACTCTCAGTTTATATGAAACTCTCATTTGGAAATACCCAGAAAGTAGTAAACATGACCAGTGATATAGAAAGTCTGCTGGGTATTGTTCATCTCTGCTCTGGGCCCTCTCAATTTGGTATTAGTAATAATTCAGTTTGGGAGCATGTCCCTGTGTAAACAAACAACACATAGCTTCAATACAAATGTTATCTTTAAAAGTGAAATGGTATCTTCAAACGTAACTTTAGCTGCATTACCAAAATACATTGGGAATCCGGCCAAATGCCTCGACTGTTATCTGTTAATCTTTACCAACATATTAAAAACTGTTTGTGTTTTTACATGCATCACAGCTGGATAACCTGCCAGAAAACTCCCCTATCAGCATTGTGCAGACCCCCATCCCGATTACCACCTCTGTTCCCAAGAGGGCCAAAAGCCAGAGGAAAAAGGCTCTGGCTGCTGCCTTGGCCACTGCACAGGAGTACTCTGAAATCAGCATGGAACAGAAGAAACTGCAGGTATCAACACGCACTTTGTCCTCTGGTCATGTAGGCCGGGTTTAGACTGAAAAGCTTTAATGTTCTGGCTTATCGCTGGGTTTCTATTTCTTCTCTCTATTTCTGGCTTGTGATTACCATTCTGATCTTTAGTTGTAGTTAACTGGTTCAATGGAGTGACCTTGTTGTGCCTTTTATTTTCTTGCCCTGCAGGAGAAATTCATCAAAGCAGCAGGGAAGAAGAGTAAAACCTCTGTGGAGCTGGACCTGGGAGACATGCTGGCAGCTTTGGAGAAACACCAGCAGGCTATGAAGGCCAGACAGCTCAACAACACCAAGCCACTGTCTTTTACAGGTACTCATGAACTGAATCAAGTGGTATAAGGGAATAAACAAACATATGACAATATAACAGCCCTACCATAAATTACAATATTGGGATAAAATCTTATTTCCATAGAGTACAATTTTGTATATTTAACATTTGTTGATGGTGAATTGTTCTTTATGGTTTGTTTTTTTAAATCCTCTTGTCCCACTGCGTAATGTTTGTGTATTTAGCTAATACTGCATATATTCTGAAATTGTTGTACCTTTTTGCAAATGTTCTTTCATTCCAATGAAAACATGTTTAAAAAAATATATATGTGCACATATTACAATACGAAATGAGTTTTGTCACATTTAGCATGTAAGCTAATGTTGTGGTCCTTCTCTCCAGTTGGAACAACCACTCCATTCCACAGTTCGGGCTCCACCAGCATGCCGTCCATGTTGAAGGTCCATCAGCAGACGTATACAGCTCCACACAACTCCCTGGACTCCACCGCGCCCCGTATGAAGAGGGGAAAGGAGAGGGAGGTCCCCAAAGTTAAACGGCCAACAGCCCTGAAAAAGGTTAATAATATAAGAGGAATTTATCATTAATGAGTAGTGGAATACATCTTTTTTAGTCTTCATGAACATTTGTAAAATGAATAGAGATTTTTGAACCTGCAAATCTTTTTGAGTGCCCTTCTTTTTGACATTTGTGTTGTGCCTTCTGATAGATTATCTTAAAGGAACGTGAAGGGAAAAAAGGGAAACAGAGTGTAGAGCAAGAGACTTCAGGCCACGAGGAGCAGGGGGATGAGTCTCTACATTTTACTGATGACATTGCACGAGAGCCTGCCTCCCAAGAAGGTGAGTGTTATTTATCATCAAGACGTGAAAGCTATTCAGTTTCATATTTTTTCATCCCTGATACAATTGTGTAATTCTTATTTCTGGTGTACTTTTCTGTTTAACCCTCAGAAAATGGTCTCAGTATGCCCAGTGATGCCTCCCTCTCCCCGGCCAGTCAGAACTCTCCTTACAGCATCACCCCGGTGTCCCAGGGGTCTCCGGCCAGCTCCGGCATCGGGAGTCCCATGGCCTCGAACGCCATCACCAAGATCCACAGCCGACGTTTCAGAGAGTAAGAACACACTTTCACCCCATGTTAAGTAAAACAAAGAACATTGAACAGGGCAGGACTTTTGTAGGAATCCCTGGCATCAAATCGTCTCAGAAATGCTCCATGTGGAAGTACAAAAATGTGAGCAAAGCAAATACTTCTCCCACTCAAAAGCCAGAGCCTTGGCTGTGAAACGATCTGAAAGTTGAAGGCTGTTTTAAGGATGGAGCTGTACAATAAAGACTTGTATAGCACAGATGCCAAGCACATTGTTCTTTCTCAGCAAAAACCGATGCCAGTGGTCACAAACACATCTTTGTCCTCCGTGTCCTCCGTGTCCTCTGCTGTAGGCCTATTGTACGAGCCCACCCTTTCCTAACAGATTTTTACAGACCCCTATAGCCAAGCTCCTCCTCTCAGCGCTGACCCGCAGGACGCTGGATCCTCAGGCCACACGACGTCGATCTTTCGATAAATATCTCCACAATGCCTCCGAGAGAATGCATAACACCTAATGGATCTGCTTTACTTGGAGAGGCGCATCCAGATTCAGAAAATGGCTCAGATAACAGAAAAAGCCAACAGGAAGAAGTTAAAGAAAGTGTTAATGAACAGCAGTCAACATTTTGAATCATTTTAAGAAGAACATATGTTGAAAAATTAATATTATTGTAAACTAGAGGTAATGGAGGATGCTTGTTCTTCTAATAGCTTGTATTGTTGGACCAACACCCCATATCCAAAAGCTTATCAGATCAAGAAAGGTCGCGTATTACTGCAATTCAGAGGCTGAGACCAAATAATGTTCATTATCTTGCTCAAAAAATATGTTATTATCCAAATTGTGCAGATATTTCTTTTTTATAGGAATTGATTTATCTAATTATAAGCTAATAGTTAAAGTTCCAAAGTTGGACATTTCGAAACATAATCTTTTGCTATTTAGCCTAGTTGCCACTTATTCATTAACCTCAATTATTTTTCCTCCGCAGGTACTGTAACCAGGTGCTGAGTAAGGAGATCGACGAGGGTGTGACGATGCTGCTACAGGAGCTAGTTCGCTTCCAGGAGCGCGTCTACCAGAAGGATCCCACCAAAGCCAAATCCAAACGCCGCCTGGTCATGGGTCTCAGAGAGGTCACAAAGCACATGAAGTTAAATAAGATTAAGTGCGTCATCATCTCTCCCAACTGTGAGAAGATCCAGGCCAAAGGTGAATCATTTTGTTTGACTGTTTCCACCCTGAGATCTGACCACCAGAGCTGTGTTACATTTTCAAAACAGGATTTAAATAATTTTGTATTAATGTATTAAAAGACAATGTGAAAGGGGTCACATGTGGAGAATTATCACTTTTACAGAGTTTTACATATAGTTTCAGCTAATTGTCCAGCCCTTTCAGAGTGCTGATAGTGAACCAAAAAAGTTGACTGATAAATAAGGTTGCTCCATAACGGCTAAATGTTAAATAAGTGACTATTTGCTGAATAATTTGCCGTACCAACCTAAAAGTGATGCTGCTTGTTTACGCTGCCCCCAAGTGGGCAACAACTCAGTTATTGCTCCTTTTTAAAAGTTCATGATTTATTGTCAGCAGAGGGTTTACACTGTACAAACCCAGCTTGGTAGTGTAGATCCCTCATGCTGACTTTAATATTCTCATCATAAAAAACAGCATGTTTCTTGATCAAGTTGTTAGTGTTTATTTTCTGTTGATTTTGCCAATCATTTTCTCAAATTGTGTACATTTTATTGAGTATCTTTTTGTTGCAGGTGGTTTGGATGAAGCTCTATACAACGTAATTGCCATGGCTCGGGACCAGGAGATCCCGTTTGTGTTTGCCTTGGGCAGAAAAGCTCTCGGACGCTGCGTCAACAAACTAGTGCCTGTCAGTGTGGTTGGGATATTCAACTATTCAGGAGCTGAGGTTAGTTACTCCCATCCTACCTTTAAGTTATTATAAATTGCTGTTAATATTGTATTGTCTACCCATCAGATGAAGACCTCTTACTAACTTGGTTAAACTTCCGTCAGGGTCTCTTTAACAGTTTAGTGTCTCTGACCGAAGAGGCAAGGAAAGCCTACAAGGAGATGGTGTCCGCTCTGGAGCAGGAGCAGGCCGAGGAGGCTCTGAAAAATGACAAGAAGGTCCCTCACCACATGGGGCATTCCCGCAACCACTCTGCTGCTTCTGCCATCTCCTTCTGCTCCATTTTCTCTGAGCCCATCTCAGAGGTCAATGAAAAGGAGTATGGTAAGCCCCCTCGTTTATTGTGATAGATTTGTGTTAGGGCTGCTCGATATTTTTTAAATTAATAATAATAATAAAATAATCGTTTTATTTAGATTACGTTGTTTTCGTAATCGTTATAAGCCATAATCGTAATTGCGATTAAAATACGATTAATTGAGCAGCCCTAATTTGTGTGTAGTATATGTAATCAGTGGTGAAAGAATTATTCAGATATTTGCTTGATTAAAAAATAGTAATGGAGCATAACCATAGACTGTATATATAAAGAGCATAACACATACACAAAATAAGATAAAAAGTCCGGCAGTGGGACTTGGACTCTGAGCGGTAGGGTCGCTGGTTCAAGTCCCCGTACAGACTTAAAATATGGAGTCTGGACTAGTACTTTGAGAGGTCCCAGTTCACCTCCCCTCTCCACGCCCTGCCGTGATGCCCTTGAGCAAGGTACCAGACACCACCACCCCCCCCACTCCCATTGCTCCCCGGGCGCTGTACAATAGCTGCCCACTTCTCCTGGTACTAGGATGGGTTAAAAGCAGAGACCACATGTCACTGTGTGTGCTGTGTGCTCTGCATGTGTGACCAATAAAGAGGGTTTCATCCTCCAATTCTATCTTTCTATAAATTCCTTCAGAGACCAACTGGAGGAGTATGGTGGAGACTTCCGACGCCCTGGAGCCTATTGAGGCTGCGCCCAGTCGTCCTGTGCCCCCAACAGCCGCACCCAAAGTCAGTGTGAACTCCGCAGCCTCCACCAGCACTGCCCACCCACCCACCACCGCCCCCCAGCCCAGGACCGCACCTTCATCACTGACACAGGGTCCCAGTGAGAGGGACGAGGTGCGGGTGGACGACCGCTTGGAGCTGGCCTCTCAGCAGAGCACAGAGACGGGCTCATTGGACGGGAGCTGCAGGGGCCCCTTGAACTCCTCCATCACCTCCACCACCTCCACCCTGGTCCCCGGGATGTTGGAGGAGGCGGACGAGGAGGAAGAGGAGGAGGACGACTACACCCCCGAACCTATTTCTGTAGAAGTGCCCACCCTCAGCAGCCGCATCGAATCCTGGGTGTCAAAGACGCTGGAAAACCTGCAGCTGGGGAAGAGCCAGGAAAGTACGGAGGAGGAGGAGGAGGAAGATGAAGAAGAGGAGAAAGTGCAGAGTGAAGAGGAGGACATCGATTCGGCGGACATCGCAGACGAGAGGACGGAGGACAAAGAGGCAGTGGAGGTTAAGAAAGTCAGCGGTTGATCTCCCCCCTCTGTTCATACACTCATTTCCTCTGTCGCTCTCTCGTCCCTCTTCACAGCAACCAGCAGCTGTTCCTCTCTCTCTCTCTCTCTCTCTCTCTCTCTCTCTCTCTCTCTCTCTCTCTCTCTCTCTCTCTCTCTCTCTCTCTCTCTCTCTCTCTCTCTCTTTCTCTCTCTAACCCCTGACACCAGACATAATCTCAGGTATCCAACCAACTGACCAACACTCACAAGCATTACACAGACACTGATCGACTCACCGCATCGCAGACCAAACAACAGCTAACACAGTCTGAGGGATAGTAGTTCACCAACACTCCTCTCGTAGTTTAAAAGGATGCCCTCACTTCTTCGGCCCATAACCTGCTACACTTGAATCCAGAGGGAAGTTTTTCACTTTCCCCCTCCAAAGCTGAACTCTTTTTAGAGTCGGGGACGTTTCTAGGAGCAAGTGATGAGTGCTATCTGTGAGTGCTGTCTGAAGCTCACAGAGGAGGAAGGTTGGAACCTCTCAGCTCCCATCTTCATACAGAGCTCACACGGTTTACAGCTCTTCAAGTATTTGTGTGTGCGTGTGTGTGTGTGTGTGTGTGTGTGTGTGTGTGTGTTTACAGGCACATAGTTAGCATTTATTTTTGTTGTGTTGTTGAGCTTTATCTTTGTAAATAATGTGTGTTTTCCACCTGCTCCATGTGGGAAGGAGAGACATGCTTTTCTTTATTAATTTTTTGTGGGTGTTTTGCGTTGCTTACAGAATATGGAAGTGTCGGGGGGGGGTTATGTCTTTCTGCCTAAAACCACTCCCACCCATTAGTCTTCAGAGTGTTTTTTAATGTTCAAATAATAAGTGTACCATTCTGTATTCAGACAATTCAGATGATTAACTTCTAAGAAGCAAAACAAGCTTTGTGTATATAACTTTGTCTATGTGGTTCTACTACATTATATAATGGTTTGTCATATTGATCTTGCCGAGTGTGAAACTATTTGGGTTGTTTGCCTCTGACTGGAATCGTCTTGAGTTCCCAGATGCTGTCTGTGCTTCATAAAACAAAATGCCCCTGATGGGGTTTCTTCTCTGATGGGTGGGCGCTCTCAAGCTGTCTTTTAAAGACTGAACCACATCTTAGAAGCCCAAACTCCCAAAAAGTCCTTTCATCCAGAGAGACATGTTGCAACATAGACACTGAATTAAAAAATTAAAGGTTTGGACCTGACTGTGTAGTTTGACATTATGAAAGAATCAGGGTACAGGAAATGTGCTCAAATACATTTTCCAAGTATATTTTCTTTAGTAAATTCCACTTAAATCTAATTAACCTATAGGAACAGCAGGGGTTTACTGGTATTCATCAAGGTTTAGAATCCCAAAATTGAACATTTGGATAGGGTTGCTTGCAAATGAATATTTTTTAGAGTTCTTCTAGATTTCAGAGACAGATTTGTCTTTATTTAAAGTCAGCTCCCCGAAGCTGAGAAAGCTCTGGCATCAGGCAGGCACCACCAGAAGTCAAACAAGTCCTCACAAAGTCATACAAATACTAATGATAAACCCTTGTAAATACAAGTGTACAAAAGATATTTTGATTTTTCCATTGTATTGAAAAATACAATCATCCTGTTCTTAAAGCCATTTGATAGTTTTAACTTTTAAACAGTTGGAATCCAGTTTGATAATGGCATTTGATAGTGAATCATGGTGAGATTTCAGCCAGCCAATGACGATGCGGTGTGTGTAAACGCAGTATGCCCCGCTGTATGCAAGGTGAAGCCCTGAGATGGGATGTGACAGTATACTGAATATCATACTTGGGACTATGAAAGTATTTCTAGTTTGATTGCAGGTACCCTCTGTGTAGGCCTTTTGTTGCTATGACTTCCATCAAAGTGTTTGAAGTATGTTTCTTTGCACCATGTAAATACAGTACTGGTAAAGGTCTTGTAACTAATGTGAACAAAAAACAAAAAAACGGTTCAATGAAGTAATTTTTTTAGCGTGTTCCTCGTCTTTATATGGATATTTAAGACCGTCTCCTGCAGACTCATCACTAGCAACATTGTTATAAGCTGTTTCTCATAATCCTGTTATCACTCTTAACCTATAACTGATGATTAACATCATTAAAATGTTGTTTAAGTAAACCATTTAAATAATGCCTTGTGTTTTGTCCACTGTTGACTATTTAATGAGCATGTCAGTTATATTAGTTCAGTCAGACAACTCACGTGTTTCTTAATATGTGTATTAGAAGCAGCATATAGTTTGAGTTTGGCGTCTAGGCTCGTGCCTCATCACTCCACAGATTTACAAAGAACATTGAGTGATGATTAGATAACTATCCCCTGAGCCTACAGGTGGAAGCTGGGGTGGTGGTGGGGCAGGCGAGCAGCAGGAACATGAACATGAACGCAGCAATAGCAAGTGAACACAGCAGCGGCAGCATAGCGAGGCAGAGGCAGGAAGACCTGGCAGCTTAAATAGAGCGGCATGTTTAGGAGAATGGGTTTGGTTGGTTGTAAGAGGGACGAGGTGCGTCACATGTTATGTATGATTGGTGCTCGAGTTGACTGCATGAACTAGCTCGCAGGCTTCGCCCCATTTGAGCTAATACAGAAAGAGACTCTGCAACTAGCTTGAAAACCGATACATCTTTTCAGTTTCTTTTCAAGCAAAAGTGCCAAATGTTCTGTGTTTCCAGGTGCTCAAATGGGAGAGGTAAGGCTTTTTCTTTGTTGTATGACGGTAAATAGTTTGCCACACATTCATGCCCACTCCTCCATACTTTTCCAATTGTTTTCCCCTTGAAATCTCTTTTAAAATAATAATTCATGTAAATCTGGATTGCAATTTTTTAAACAACCACTAGGAAGGGACAAAACTCTTGCTGTTATAACTATTTGATGCACTCAGACATGAAACCTTGTCATTTTCATGTATGACATCCAGTTTATTCACAAGTATGCCGTTTTCAAGTTACCAAGAAAAATCTGCAAGTCATTAATACTTATTTAGTAATGCTTATATTTAGTTAAATGAAATCTGTGATCTAAATAAGGAAGCGTTTCCACACTCACACTGTTGTTGTTGTTGTTGTTAGATATTCATCTTCTCTGCCGGCACCTGTCTTGCATATTGCTCTGAATAGAAACTGAAAATGCAAATAATTCTGTTAAATCTCCTTCCTCTTGTGATTCATGCAGGCCATTTGAATAATACTTGCACTAAGCTTACTATATGGCATACTATAAATCAAGTCAATGTGATCTATTTCTACAAAAACTATGAATCCCTATTCTATTAAGAAAAACATTTCTAGGGAGATATAGAGTGTTTTAATAACACACATTAACAGCATCACTGAAGTGCAACTGATGCTAGAAAAGAGGAGTGTGTGTGTGTGTGTGTGTGTGTGTGTGTGTGTGTGTGTGTGTGTGTGTGTGTGTGTGTGTGTGTGTGTGTGTGTGTGTGTGTGTGTGTGTGTGTGTGTGTGTGTGTGTGTGTGTGTGTGTGTGTGTGTGTGTACACAGCATGAGTCACCCTACCCGCCTGTGATTGGATTGTAGTTTATGGGTGAGGGAGGGGCAAAGAGCCTTAGGGGCAGTCTGTCAATCTGTTCACCGCTCCATTCACATATTCATCTGCATGCACCGTCATAGAGAGAGACAGAGGAAGTGAGCGAGAGCCTCTCATTCATAAAAAAAAAAGAGAAAAGTTCATTCATAAAAGCTGCACAATTCTGCTGCTCCTCGGAAAGAAAAATACAGAGGGGAGGAAAGTTGATGTACAGGTGAAGCAGGGCTGGAAGTGTCGGTCATGATGATGGGACGGTACTCAGCACGACTATAGCAGAGCAGACTGGACTCTAGACTACACAGGACATCCCTAGTCTGGTGAGTTGAATCTTCCGTAACGTACTGTATTTATCCGAGGACAGAGAATGCCAGCAGCTAAAAACCTTTTTCAAACAAAAAAAGCAACCTAAAGCCTTTTACTTTTTGCTGCCAGTCAAATCTAAGTTATCAGGTCAATCCTATGTGTGTTATTCTACTGTAATGATTTTGTATCTAATTCTTGGCAGGATTTCTATTTGTCCTAGTGCTCTCCTTTTTCCAGTTTCCTGAGTATGAGAGAGCAAAGCTTACCCAGGTTCAAATCACAGAAACAACTTTTACCAGGTAGCTCCTCACTTTTATCACTAAATGCATACAATGAGAATCACTGTGCTTTATACCTTATTGTCACACTTTCTTTTTCATCTCTTACAGGCATGCTGAAGCGCACCAAATACAGTCGTCTGCGCAACGATTCACTGACGTCTCTCGAGGACCAGCCCCAAAGAATGCTCCCCCTAAAGAGGGACATTTGCTTAGACTCTGACTTTGCCCAGCTGGATCCTGGGACGCCTACACACCATGGCCCGTCCACACTGAGGGACTTCATCCCCCGTGTGGCTAGCATCCGATTGCAGAGTCCTATTTCCCTGCAGGGCCTGAGGGGACAGACAAACAGAGCCCGGGACAGAACCACTGATGACACACCCTTGTCCAGAGCAGAGTGGGGCTCAGGGCCTAACCACAGATTTTGTTTTCAACATTCAGTCAATGTGCCCCTATCGGATGGCCGGACTCGCTCTGCCCTCAGCTGCACAAAAAGACCAATCACGCTGCATCAGATGGACAGTCTCTCCTGGACCCCTGGCTGTCCTCCTTGCTCACATCACAGAGACGGTCTGTCCCATATGAAGACATCCTCTGCAGGAGAGGACTGTACAGCGGTGGGGACGGCAAACAGAGTGGTTCACCATCACATCAAGGTACTTATCACATAATAACTATTAACAGTGCATGAATACACTCTGCTCTGGACTAACACACATTTTATTGTGGAGAAGACTGCAAGAGTGTGTGGGATGTTACTCACCAGACTAATATGCATGTGACTTTAAAATGTGTTATATCTAAAATATAATATAATTTGTGTCAAACTTATCTTTACTGTGCATAAAGTGCAGCTAACTTCTTATCCAGGGTCTCACTGGATGGTTAAGGCAGGTACGCAGTTTAATTCCATATAGTGCTAACACAAACACATTCATGTGAGCACAGGACACACACACGCACACACAAATAGACGCACTCTGTCTCCCTGTGCTCCATCCACACCATCACACTCACTTTCATCCCCTCCCTCTCAGAAAGAGCTTCCTGTGTTGGCAGTAGTGACTCATCCTGGCTCTCTGCTCCTCTCTGGATCTGCTTTGCTACTGTGTGTGTGTGTGTGTGTGTGTGTGTGTGTGTGTGTGTGTGTGTGTGTGTGTGTGTGTGTGTGTGTGTGTGTGTGTGTGTGTGTGTGTGTGTGTGTGTGTGTGTGTGTGTGTGTGTGTGTGTGTGTGTGTGTGTGTGTGTGTGTGTGTGTGTGTGTGTGTGTGTGTGTGTGTGTGTGTGTGTGTGTGTGTGTGTGTGTGTGTGTGTGTGTATCCGGTATCAGCTGAGCCCAAGCTATCCTAGAACCGGAGGTGTGTCCGCATGGGTGATTAGGAGCTGACCACTGATGGAAATGAGAATGGACTGTTTGATTGTCCTTTATAAACAAGCACACACATTACACACTCCCACTCATCCCAGCCACACACACACACACACACACACACACACACACACACACACACACACACACACACACACACACACACGCGCATATTGATTTAAGTCTGGTCTTCATCAGTGGATTTACTCATCCTGCCTCCAGCCTATGGCGTCTGCTCTGCTAGAGCTCATGGCCAATAGAAGTGGGCCTGGCTAAAGTGTATCCAAGCATGTGGCCTAAATGTTGTCTGGTTGTATAAACTAAATGTTAAGATGTCCCAAATGTACAACTTATTTTAGAAATCACAGGGAAAAAGCCACTCTCATATCTACACACAGAATATACACAGAATACATCTCTATAGTCATGCTAGTGACGTCACATGATGGTAGTCTGTCCACCACTTTGGCCCAGAATGAAATATCTCAGAAATATATTAGAAAGATTAGCACAAAGTACAAACAGTAGTGGTCCTCCGAGGATGAGGTCACTGATCTCCTGATTTATTTAGCACCACAAAGGTAACATTTTAGTTTTTTAGTTAATTGTTATGTATTGAAAAATCTTGGATGTATTTGCAGCAGATTAATTGTTCTGAGTCCGGATTCTAAACATTTGTCCTCTATAACAACTAGCATGTCAAAGGTTTCCTTATCCTTTGGTTAATTTCTGATCAATCATAATACCTTGTCATTTTGTGCCATCATAAGGTTTTATGTTAAAGTTCTCCTCAACTATTGGACGGTTTAGCATGAAATGGTTTGACATATGTCCCCTCAGGGGGGATGGTAACTACTTTGGTGACCCCCTTATTTTGTATTGAGCAGCTTCATTAATTTGTCCAATAATTTGATTTATGACCGAATCACAAAAAAACGAATGAAATTCAGTCTCTGCTGTAGTTGTATTTTATTATTGTATTTGTTCTAATGGACAAATGTTAGAATGCTAACGTGATAAATTAGACAGTGAACGTTAAATCATCTAAACATCAGTATGTTACCATTGCTCCTGCGAGCGTATGAGCATGCTGATCTTAACACTTAAGTCCTGTACGCTTGTTTTTAGTTTTATTTTACTAATTTATTATGCAGTTAAAAGAGAGAAAACAAATGCATGACATGCCGTACCTTTGCTTACTTTAGTGAGATTGTTTCTATTCCTTAGTTGAAAGTGCAGCCAAAGTGATCCCTAAATCTTTGATCAAAGACTGAAAGTGTACTGCTCCTCAAGCAGTCAGTTAATCAATTAGGATTGTTGAGCTCATCAGGAAGTTCATACAACAAACATGTGCACTGCTTGAGTTATAGTTATAGCCCAGAATCAAGTGCAGCACCGTATCAATCACAGCAGCTCTAGGATCATAAAGTAGGACTGGAGAGTAGAGTTTGAATGGCAGACAACAGCCTGTCCCACTTCTTCATCTTCACATGTTTTAATGATACTTAAATTGAGGAGGAACAGGACGGAAGCATTGCCCACATGAGATTTATTTATTGCTGTTACTACGTGTTTTATTTTACATTGTAATCACTGAGTAACTTTGTGTGTTCGGTTGTGTTTTCCAGTACATGGGCAGTGTGGAGGTGATCCAGTCCATGAGAACCCTCGACTTTGATACGAGAATGAAAGTCACACGGTAGGAGGTTCTTCCACTACCAAACACACACACACACACACACACACACACACACACACACACACACACACACACACACACACACACACACACACACACACATAAATGACAATGCACAGTTGCACACGCACATCCATACAATTAATTGCTGACATGATTATGGAGTAAAACTATGCAATAATACAAATTTAAAAAAGAAGAAGAGAAAACTCTTTTTAGAAATATATTGTGTGATTCATTTGAAAACATGTTTCAAAGCGGGAAATCAAATTAAATGTTTAATCTTTCATAAACCGGGGCTTTCTCTTCATCATTTAATATTGACATACTTGTGCAGGATGCCAAAACGCCGAAGGACACAGCTAGGTCTGTTCACAACAATACTGCTGAATGATGTGGAAGAAAATCCAATTAGATGAATTTCCTCCTAATGATCTCTCATAGTCTTATTAAGAGAGAGAGGGACAGGGATAAATACCGTAATCCATTATATACAATTAGCTTTCAAGGCGAAGAACGGCAATTCCTGGAATGAAAAGTATTCTTCCTAGATAACAGGGTGTTACTTCAGAGTGAATGGTTTGTATGGTTTGGCCTCGCTGACCCAAATGTCAGTTCTCTGATAGCTATAGCTTTATTTAAACAGCCAATCTTGCTGATAATACTTAGTATTTTGAATGCAGGATTAATGGAGTATGCTTATATTAATGTATTTCTGCTTTCACCTTAGAAAGAATCGTAATTGTTATATACCAATGACATACCTCTGAGATTGCTGGGTACTTCAGTCTTTATCAATTTGTGTATGTTTATTAGCAAACATTTCAATCATAAATAACTTAAATAAACAACGTTAAAAAACTGCATTAATTCCCTGTAAAGCAGTACAAGCAGAAGACTTACTCAGATCCTTTATCTAAGAAAACAGTACTAAAGTAAAAGTCTTGAAATTCATTGTATTTTCATTTCTCTGATATACTTGTAGCTGAGCTTCTTGTGATGCAGTTTTCTTTATCTCATGTTCTCACATGCTAGTCACATGTCAGCCGGTCGCACTGGATAACATATTTACAAAGGTGTGTGTGTGTGTGTGTGTGTGTGTGTGTGTGTGTGTGTGTGTGTGTGTGTGTGTGTGTGTGTGTGTGTGTGTGTGTGTGTGTGTGTGTGTGTGTGTGTGTGTGTGTGTGTGTGTGTGTGTGTGTGTGTGTGTGTGTGTGTGTGTGTGTGTGTGTGTGTGTGTGTGTGTGTGTGTGTGTGTGTGTGTGCGCAGGGAGGCAATCAGCAGACTGTGTGAGCAGACATCCGCCAAGACAGCAATGAAAACCAAAAGAGTAAGGCGCACACACACACACACACACACACACACACACACACACACACACACACACACACACACACACACACACACACACACACACTGCAATCAACACAGACAGAACTAGAATAACAGATTTCTGTCATCATCAGCCTGACTGCAAGGGACTGTCTGCTCTTCTGGGTCAGATCAACCTGCAGTTTTCAGGTAGCAGGATCATCCTCACTGTGTCCACAGACAGTGTGACCCTAATTGCTGCCTCCTCCTTACAGGTGACTGCTTCAACAAACAAAATGTAAACTTTCACATTCTCTTTTTATTAAGACATAGATTATTAAAATAATAATAATTTTGCCCTGTTTTTTCTCTCTCTTCTCTTTCTTCGAAGATTGCCCACCACCCCATGCAGGCCATTTCATTCGCCTCAGGAGGAGATCCGGTACGGTCCATTTTTCTAATCTTGCACATGTACAAACTTGTTTATGAGCAAAAAAGGAAACAAACACCCATACACACACAGTAAATAATTAGATTTGGCTTGATTACCGCTTGGTTTGCTGCCATTTGTGGACGATTGAATTATTTCCCATCCCCAACTCTTGAATCTTTTAATCAACTTTTAATTGGTGGTACAAAGCAAGTATTTATCAAGACCCTGGAACTGAAATGTTGGACACAAACTTCAGAATAAAAGCTTTTAATCAAATCCTTACGACTTTAGGATAACCTTAGAGTTTAGAGCCTTAAAGGTGTATTAGGAGTACATACTATATGACTGCAATATAAAAATGTTAATGCAGTCTAGGTCAAACCCTGCTTGATAAACTGCTTGACTGACTGTTATTTGTGATTTGATTCGTGTCCATAAACTAAGCTTTTCATTTTTAAACAAACAGTGAATTCAAAAGTTGGGTACACACTGTAATATTTCATTGCTATTTGCATACTGCGACGTTGCGCTGGCCAAAGTTGTTCAGGGAATAGGAAATGCAGTTTCTCTCTCGGAAACACAAGACCAGCGAAGCTACGGAAAGGATTATAGTTCGCAGTTGAATTAATTAGCTAAAATAATCTTGTAGTGTGCTCTAAGCCTCGGCTCCATTGGCTAGGACACATAGAAGATATGAGGGTGAATTAAAATCAATCTGCCACAGAGGCTTTATGGTGAAACATATTCAGCTGACTTTGTTCTTGTATTAGTATCAGAGAACCACTGATGGGGAGTGATTTAATTAAACCGGGAAAACATATACATGACCATTAACTGAATATGTCTGCTGATTATATAAAGAAGGAATCATGAATCCAAGGGCTGATTACTGATCCAGGCGTAAAGGTTATAAGCCGTACCACATAATAAGACAGTCAGGAGGTTTATGAGTGACCTTGTGCACATACTGAAAAATACAGCAAATACCTTTAAAGTCCATCCATCCATCCATCTTCTCCCGCTTATCCGTGGTCGGGTCACGGGGGTAGCTGTTGTATCCGCAATCTCGTTCTTTCGGTCATGACCCATCCTTCATGACCATCGGTGAGGGTAGGAACGAAAATGGCCCGGTAGACAGAGAGCTTTGCCTTCTGGCTCAGCTCTCTTTTCGTCACAACGGTGCGGCCCATCTCACGCTCCGTTGTTCCCTCACTCGAGAACAAGACCCCGAGATACTTGAACTCCTTCACTTGGGGTAAGGACTCATTCCCTACTTGGAGTGGACAGTCCATTGGTTTCCTGCTGAGAACCATGGCCTCAGATTTGGAGGTGCTGATCCTCATCCCAGCCGCTTCACACTCGGTTGCGAACCAATCCAGTGAGTGCTGAAGGTCGCAGACCGATGAAGCCATTGGAACCACATCATCTGCAAAAAGCAGTGGTGCAATCCTTAGTCCACCGAACTGCAGACCCCCTCCCCCACGACTACGCCTCGAAATCCGATCCATGTATATTACAAACAAGATTGGTGACAAAGCACAGCCCTGGCGGAGGCCAACCCTCACCGGAAATTGGTCCGACTTACTGCCGAGGACCCGGACACAGCTCTCGCTTTGGGAGTACAGAGATTGGATGGCCCTCAGTAGAGACCCCCTCACCCCATACTCCCGCAGCACCTCCCACAGTAACTCCCTGGGAACTCGGTCATACGCCTTCTCCAAGTCTACAAAACACATGTAGACCGGATAAGCGTACTCCCAGGCCCCCTCCAGGATCCTTGCGAGAGTAAAAAGCTGATCCATCGTTCCACGACCAGGACGGAATCCGCATTGTTCCTCCTCAATCTGAGGTTCGACAATCGACAATCGGCCTGACCCTCCTTTCTATCTTACCTTAGAGTAAACTTTCCCGGGCAGGCTGAGTAGTGTGATGCCTCTGTAATTGGCACACACCCTCTGATCCCCCTTTTTGAAAAGGGGAACCACCACCCCGGTCTGCCACTCCTTTGGTACTGTTTCCGACTTCCACGCAACGTTGATGAGACGTGTCAACCATGACAGTCCCTCAACACCCAGAGCCTTCAGCATTTCTGGGCATCCGAAAGTCCTTTTCCATGTCTTCTCCGAACTTCTCCCACACCCGCTGCTTTGCCTCGGCCACGGCTGAGGCTGCTGCTCTTCGGGCCTGTCGGTACCTTGCAACTGCCTCGGGAGTACCCCGGGATAACAAATCCCTAAAGGCCTCCTTCTTCAGTCGGACGGCTTCCCTGACCACCGGTGTCCACCAGGAGGTTCGAGGGTTACCGCCCCTTGAGGCACCTAAGACCTTGAGACCACAGCTCCCTGCCGCGGCTTCGGCAATAGAGGCTTTGAACACCGACCACTCTGGTTCAATGTCCCCAACCTCCACAGGAATGCCCGAAAATCTCCGCCGGAGGTGTGAGTTTAAGGCCTCCTGAACTTGGGCCTCCTCCAGACGTTCCTAGTTCACCCGAACTACACGTTTGGGCTTACCAGGTCTATCCAGAGGCTTCCCCCGCCACTCGACCCAACTCACCACCAGATGGTGATCAGTTGACAACTCCGCCCCTCTCTTTACCCGAGTGTCCAAAACATACGGCCTCAGGTCCGATGATATGTTAACGAAATCGATCATGGACCTTCTGCCTAGGGTGCTCTGGTACCACGTACACTTATGAGCATCCTTATGTTCGAACATGGTGTTTGTTATGGCCAATCCATGAATAGCACAGAAGTCCAGTAACAAACCACCACTCCGGTTCAGATCAGGGGGGCCGTTCCTCCCCATCACGCCCCTCCAAGTGTCTCCATTAGGGGTGTAACGGTATCCGTATTCGTCCCGTACCGTCACGGTTCGGACGTCACGGTTCGGCACATGCAGTCACACGACGAATACGCCTTTTTTTTACGAGTGGGAAAAAGGTCTGTCATTCAGGGCAGTATCCATTACACTATTTATAATCCAGGGGGCGGTATTGCGCCTAAAAGCTGTTTGCGAGCCGCTCTTAAACAACAAATGAAGAACAAGAAGAAACACAACAACAAAACGAACAAAATACAAGAAGAAGAAATGTTAGTATGGCGATTTCAGATAACACAGGAGCTAGAACCCACCTGCTTCTTTTAAATCAGCTGTGTGGGAACATTTCGGGTTCCCTGTGGACTACAATAACGATGGAGTGCGAGTGGTGGATCGGACGAGGACGGTGTTTCGGCGTTGTTCGATAGCGGTGCGGTATGCTAATGGAAACACACGCCAAACATGCTAAATCATATCAGAAGGCATCACCCAGATCGCCGGAACCCGGCAAAAGACAACAGCAGTTCAGCAGCTGATCCCCGCTGTTTTTAATCAACCAATAGACATGAAAGCCATGAGACCAAAATAAATAACGGAAGCTTTTGGCATATATATTTCAACGGCTATGCGCTCTTGAAACACTTTCTTATTATTTATGATGTAATATTTTCAAGACATTCTTTTTAGTTTTACAGCTCGATGAAACCTTTTTGTTTGACATCAGCCATTATAGATAATATGGCCACCTGAGTGTGTGTGGTACTGTTTGTGGTTTGTTTTTAACAGTGTAATACATTTAATTATTCAAAATGTTAGAGTTCCTTATTTTTAAACTGAAACTTGCACTACTGTTCAAAAATAAATAACAACAAACCTGGAATTATGCATTTGGGACTTTATTTTTGCTTTTTCTTGTTGTACCGAACCCGTACCGAACCGTGACCCCAAAACCGAGATACGTACCGAACCGTGAATTCTGTAAACCGTTACACCCCTAGTCTCCATCATTGCCCACATGTGCGTTGAAGTCTCCCAGCAAGATTAAAGAGTCCCCTTCAGGAGCCCCATACAGGACTCTTTCCAGGGTCTCCAAGAAGGCCGAACTGCTGTTTGGTGCATAAGCACACACAACAGTCAGAGTTTTCCCCCCCATAACCCGCAGGCATAGGGAGGCGATCCTCTCGTCCACTGGGGTAAACTCCAACAACGAAGCACCCAACCGGGGACTTGTGAGTATCCCCACACCCGCCCGGCGCCTCACACCTTGAGCAACTCCGGAGAAGAATAGAGTCCAACCCCTATCCAGAAGTAAGGTTCCAGAGCCGACGCTGTGCGTAGAGGTGAGCCCAACCAGATCCAACTGGTGACGCTCCACCTCCCGCACAAGCTCCGGCTCCTTCCCCCCCAGAGAGGTGACGTTCCACGTCCCCAAAGCCAGCTTCTGTCGCCCGGGTCTGGTCCGCCGAGACCCTCTGCTTTCACTGCCACCCTTCTGGCAGCGCACCCGACCCCATCGCTGTTTCCCGTAGGTGGTGGGCCCGCGGGACGGAGAAGCGGAGGTGTTGCCCACGTTGCCTTTTCGGGCTGTGCACGGCCGGGCTCCGTATCAAGCCCGGCCACCAGACGCTCGCCGACGAGTCCTCCTTCTGGGCCTGGCTCCAGAAGGGGACCCCGGGCTTCCTCCGGGCCGGGTATCATCACTTCCTGTGTCGTCTTTCATGAGGTCCTTTGAACCAATCTTAGTCTGGCCCCTTGCCTGAGACCAATTTGCCATGGGAGACCGTACCAGGAACACAAGGTTCCAGACAACACAGCCCCCAGGTTCATCAGGGCACACAAACCTCTCTACCACGGTAAGGTGCTGGTTCTTCAGAGAGGAACCAGCATCTTTAAAGTGAGTTATGTAATTTAGGAACCACATTCTTACTGTTACAAATGGAAAGTTCAATGTATGTGCAATAAAAGGAATCCTTACTTAATTCAATACACTGCTGCAGCTTAACTTGTTCTGAACCGTATAGTGACTATGTTAGCTAATGTTAGCAAACTTTAAACTGACACTGCTGTGGAATTATTTCATTAGAGTTTGACTTTATTATTATTTGATCTACTTGTGCTACTGTTAAAATATATGTATTCACTATGTTTATTTTATCATCTCATGGTTGTCATTTGCGGCCACTGTTTGGCAAACGTCACATAGTCTTGCTTTATGTCTCACTTATATTTTTCTCTCTTTTTTTACGATAGGACATGGCAGATTACATTGCTTATGTGGCCAAAGACCTTGTCAATAAGAGAGGTAGAGATGGTTTATTTTTCTATAATGATGAGCTTAGCTTCCATTTGACTCTCTGGCTTCTCTGAACTTCTCACATCTCTCCTTTTACCCCCCCCCGTTAGCATGTCACATCCTGGAGTGTCCGCGGGGTCGTGCCGGCGCGGTAATCAACAGCATCGGTCAGGCCTTTGAGGCTCGATTCCGCCAACTTCTCAGCAACGGGCCATCGCTCCTTTGCAACAATCCCAGGTTATCCATTTGTCTATTATAGCTGTATTATTGGTATGTTAATGTACTTTTTTTTTACCTTGAGGACCACCTTAGGACTGGACCTCAAAACTCTTCTCTATCAAACATGCCTTCCTTTTATAGAGGCTGTGATTTTTTTTGTGTCTTTTTTTACATGTATACACAGAGAGGAGACAAATACATAAACTACGGTGGCCCTCAATGTCAAAACACAAGATCTCACAAAACACCAGAAAATATTCAGAAAGAAGAAACACATACAATTACAAATAAACCACAGTCTGTGTACAGTCTGTTACAGACTCAGCATGTCTTCATGATGTGACTTTCTGTGTGCAGGTCAGCAGTGAGGATCTTTTCAAACTGTGCTCCAGAGGACACGATAACAGACCAGAAGGCCAAGCAGGAAGGTGAAGTCAGGGAGCACTCTGACTACTACAATGTGATCCCAGGAAAGACGCCACCCACTGGCGGGATAGGGGACCTGCGCATCACAAGGGAGGAGGATAAACAAGTTCCATCCGAAATACAGAGGGTAAGAGTTCAACACGAGGATGGTCTACTCAGTTATCAGCAGTTCGATCTGATCAAGTCCAACCATATCATATATTTATTTTAGTATCATTATATTTCACAAGTTTGTTTGTTTGTAGCCTTTATTTAACCAGGTGAAAGCCCCTTGAGATCAAAATATCTCTTTTTGCAAGGGTGACCTGCATGTCAAGTGGACAGCATAATTCATTTTTTAGACAATTTCACATTTAAAAATAAATTGCTGAAGCATCTGAGTTTAAAAGTCCCTGTTCAAGGTCACCTCGGTTGTTGGTAATAACTTCCCAGAATTATTGTGCTATTCTGGCAATTAAGTCAGCGACATTCAGGACATGGTCACACGTCTCTATCATTTAAGCCATCGCACACACACACACACACACACACACACACACACACACACACACACACACACACACACACACACACACACACACACACACACACACACACACACACACACACACACACACACACACACACACGCAGGCACGCACGCACACACACACACACACACACACACACACACACACACACACACACACACACACACACACACACACACACACACACATCTGTCTTGTGTGTATGACTCATGTATTTCTGTTGCAGGTTTGTTCTGCTCAGCCTGTTTCACTGTATGAGAACTGCTCCATCACAGGAGGAGCTCCAGCTCCACCTGCAGGTAAAACTCATTGTCATTCCAAGTTAAATCATATGATGTATGTGAATGTGTGTAAAGACATACATTGGAACTTTGTACATGCGAAAGTTTATTTTGTAATTTTTTAATAAATGTTTATTAATTAATTACATGTTTGAATGTAATATGTTTGTTATGTATCTGATCAAGTTCACATCAGCCCATTTCTTTCCCCCATCTTTTCATTGTGTTATTGTTAAAAGGTCATAACTGTTTATGCACCATTCAAAAAAATTATACATAAAATGATACATAAAATAAAATTAGGAAACTAGTAATATTAGATTAAACCACAATGGAAAAAGTACAGACCAGAATAAAGGATGGGGCCAGCAAGCTTTCTTTACTCCCAAGATAGCAGCTCTAACATTGAGACTGCAGTGGTTAAAACATGAAACTCAACTACGTTTAGTCTACCTTTTTTTCCTGAAAGTACTCACTCAGATTAATATCTAAAGACATCCATAAAACACATCAACTTCCATTTTGAAGTTGACAAGAAATCAGACTTTAAATTGTTTTAAAAATCTGGAGTTGGGTACTTAATAGTGGTAACACTTATACCAGCAGTATTGAGTCAAATTAGATATAAAGAAATACCTATTTTTATAACGCTAAATATTTGGTGCAAAATAATTATAAACCAAGATTTAATCCTTGTTCATACTTTGTAAAACCAACTGATTCTTGTTTGTGTTTTTCCTTGTTATACTCCATCAGACTCACTGGTACCTGAGGTCGGTGCTGAACAGTGTGCCGCTCTCTCTGGGACACGGATCCAGGACCTGATCCAGGAAGAAGGCTGGTTCCACGGCAGGTAGGTCATCAACATGCTCCTCCACCAGTGAATTACAACTTAATGTGTCTGTCAGCTAGCATATATATCTCCCTATTCCTTTCTCAGTAACTCTTCTGTCCTTTATCCCAGGTTAGGCAGAGAGCAGGCGGAGGGGCTTCTCACCTGCAGTGGGGACTTCCTGGTCAGAGAGAGCAGCTCTGCCTCTGGTCAGTATGTCCTCAGCGGGATGGAGGGAGCCACCGTGCGGCACCTGCTGCTGGTCGATCCACACGGACAGGTCAGAGTTGTGATGTTCAAACACACACAGCATGAGGAGAGGCGAGTAGCAGCTGGCCCTAATGTTTGACCTTGTTGTCTTTGTGTGAGCAGGTGCGGACCCGTGATCAAGTGTTTCTGGGTGTTGGTCACCTGGTGCGTTTCCACATGGAGAACCAGATGCCAATCATCTCTGGAAACAGTGAGCTGTGCCTGAAAGTGCCAATCCTGCAAAGACACTCACATGCACTTTCATAGACAGTCACATGTAGAAGTTAACGGTTTTGAAGTGGAGGAACATTGGGCCAAAGCCAAACAAAGTTTCCACAGCTTTCATCGCTTTTAGCAACTTAAAAAAAAATCAACATGTGACATCCCTTCCCAAAATATTGTATTATTTTGTCATTAAAGTATTGTTTGATTTCCTGAACATTTGAGTAAATTCTTCACTTGTGCACACTGTGCCTCACCCTGTGAGCCACTGGTCTGCAGAACCTCCTGTCTCTCTCTCTCTCAGGCTGAATCTGTTTGTGTTTACTCAAAGTCTAAGCACAATCACTAGTGTCGGGAGGAAATTACCAGAATGTTGGCAGACTTTCCGAATCTTTTTCTGATATGCTAAACTTGTCTTGTGTTAGTTTGTTTTGTATGTGTTATTGCTTTGTGTTCCCATTTCCCATGCTTGACTTTTGATTTAACGTGTTTTTTACATTCTAAATAAAATAAAATCGCTTTGTAACCAGAATGTAAAGAAACCGATTTGCACTTTAGTTGGAGAAGATAAGGCAAATATACAATAAGTAATGCAATGCAAAAATCTGCATGTTTCACGACAGTGTGGTGCTAGCAGTAAAGACATCATACAAAAACTACACAGCAACTTCAGGGTAAGAATCTTAAACTGCCTCAGCAGACTGGTTTTTATACATTTCCTTTCTGATTTTTTAAGGTTTTTGTCTGAAAACAAAAAATTCACTTCGTTGTCATCAATACCTGAAAATACTTGTTCACCAGAGCCCACACCTGGTAAAATAATCACTTAGGAAATCAAGTTATAAACCTTGTTAGCTTGGATACATTTAGCCACAAGATGGTGCTCTCAGTCTTTACAAGAGTTTATTGCTCTTCAGCCAACAACAAAATATGTTTTTTAGATTAAGCAAGTACTCTCTAGGCTAGTTTCTTTAAATTCTAAACATTTTAAAATAGGTTTTTTGGTTTTTGAATTCCTCCATAATGATGTGTGTTTATGGTGGAATATAGTAAATACATCTTATCTCAAACCACTGATACAATGACATCCTGCTTTTTGTTGTGTTTCGGTGTTCTAGAAACATATATGTCAGAAAGAGCGATGAAAATGACTGGAAGTAAACAGCTTATAATAATTGCTGCAACACTTCTCCCTCAGTTTTCAGCTGTCTGTCACTTGCAGATTTTAGTGCAGTGAAAGATGACTGTGTGCTGAAAGTATGCAGCTGACTGTTTTCGGGCTGTGGCCCTCAGCGTCCTCTGAGAGGCTTGGAGGGTCTCGCCCACATTAATCACCCTCAGCGCTGCTTGTTGGGATCGGGGAACCTCTGGCCGCTGATGGGGAAAGAAGCAGCCCTGCAGAACACTGATAGAGTATCTTAAGAAAAACAACACTTAAAGCTTTTCTGTTCAGATAAGTCAAATGTAATCACAGATCTCACATGAATTCCCACAATCCCTAGCTTTTCGGGTGTCAAAAATAGGGCTTATCTGACTTGTTACAAAGAGCAGGAAATGAATTGTCTGACATGTTATCTCTGCTCTTTCCTACACACTTTATGCACAAGTTAATATGATAGTGATATATCCATCATATCTGATTGAGTCAGTAAACAAACAAACTAAAAGTGTCTCTCCTCTAAACCAAAAGTCAGATAACTTTTATGAAAGCTGTCATAAGTGTTAAATTAAGTGATTCTTCAACCAAGTGAAGGGATTTTTCTGCTTCTATTACGTCTCCCTAGATTTTCTCTGAGTCACACAGACCTCGCCCAAAAATAACTCACCAAGGACAACAATGACATAGTGTGTGATGCCATTCTTTCAGACCTGTGAGGCCTGCTGATGGTCAAATGTGACACACCTGTGAGGTCACTGTTTGACCTCTGACCCCTCATTCATGTCAAAGCAGCACCTGTGTGGTGTTACACATGTGTGGAGCAGATACAGGCTGTGTCCATTTTTGAGCAATTATGCTTGAAAGGTAATAAAAAACAATACCAACAATGTCTTTAAAGATAGATAAAAGATAGATTAACTCTTAGAGCTGAAGAGGATCTTCAATTATTGAGTAGTTGACCAAAAATAGTGTATATTATTTTAAAGTAATTTCTAAGAGAACTGAACAAAATATTGTTGTCTGTATGGATATTTGTTAGTGTGTTTTCTGTCCTCTTTCAAACACTGCACATGTTTGGTTCTTGGACTGATGATTAGATCAAATCAAAATAAGATAAGTTTAGCCTTACCAACAACATCTATAACAACTCCATTAGGTCTGTCATCAGATTAAGACCTTAATTAATCCCTGAGGGGAGAATTTTTACAATTACAGACACACATGCACAAACACCTATAGACATGCACTATTAAAGAGGTGGCCGAGCAAAAGGGCTACAGGTGTTCCAGCGCTGTGAAGCAGTTGGGGGTTCAGGGCCGTGTTCAAGGACACCTCGGGAGTGCCCAGGAGGTTTAAAGGAGTTGAACTGGCACCTCTCTAGCTACCAGTCCACAATCAGTATTTTGGTCCCATTAGGACTTGAACCATCAACCCCTTCGTCCCTAGACTCCCTACTACTTCTACCCTCATCACTCTAAAACTATAATCCCACTGTATAATGTCCAGTAGCTACCACTGAATGGCCCCTGTGACCCCCTGTAACATCCTTTTCTGATTACCCAATTGAACATATTACCGTTAAAGTAATCAACTCCAGTAATAGATGTAGAAAGTATTACACAGTATCTCACTTTCATTTTCACGATTAGACATTGAGAGGTTTTAAGCTTCAAGGATTTACATCACTTTGCCAGCAGGGTAATTTTTAGAGGCCCTGATGATTCAAAGTCTGCATCTGAAACTACAGTAGACACATTATCTTAATCTGTGCAACCACATGCTGTTTGCATTTGTTAGTACATGTGTGTGCATTCCTTGAACCCAGCCACTGACATGACATGACTCTGAAACAGGAAATGATAAACATTCAGCATAATCTCCAGGTTCTGTGGCTTTGGTTCAGATCCAGCGCATTAAAAAGCCTGAACTCTTTGAATTCCATTATAAAATAAACTTGAGTGCTGATGAGCTTGAGGGCATTAACTGCACACACACGCAGGCACACACACACACACACACACACACACACACACACACACACACACACACACACACACACACACACACACACACACACACACACACACACACACACACACACACAGATAGATTGCGCATGTGACAAAGCATTCCCAGACCCCAAAGCGCCTTAATGGAACAATTAAAGTCATAAAAAGCGCCCAGAGTACGAGAGCATGAAATTGTTCCTCGTTTCAATGTTATCAGAGTCACACAGAGTTCAAATCTGGGAGGAAACAAAACAAGACTTGGCCACTGACTGGGCCGTGTTGCAGCAGTTTCTGGCATGCCAATATCCACACGTATGTTCCTCCGGAGACGACGCATAGGAGGAGACGAGTGAGTTATGTGAGCTTTGCAAACAAATGCTCACAAACAAAGAGACGGGCTAGTTTTTGCGCCTGGTTCTGTTTCCTGTCGCCACAATTCGGGAACTAGTGAGGGCATGTTGTGCAGAGGAGCGAGCCTGAAGTGTCTTATAAATGGTTATACTGTAAGTTTCTGTTGACCAGAGTCAGTGCAGAATAGATGAGTATGTGTGTAACCCCCACAGTGATCGTCTCACTCCTCAGCACTGCTTTTACCTCCCTTTACTCTCAGGCCTCAGCCCTCTACCCCGGCTTAGCATGACGGCTGGTCTCTGAAGCTCGGATGGGTGTGTGGACTGTTGGCTGTTGGCAGGCCTCTCTGAGCAGGAAAACACACACGCACACGCACACGCACACGCACGTCCTCAAGCACAAAATGCCCTGCAGTTTCTTTACCTCTTCCAAATCATCTCTTTCCTCTCTCTCTCTCTCTCTCTCTCTCTCTCTCTCTCTCTCTCTCTCTCTCTCCTCTCTCTCTCTCTCTCTCTCTCTCTCTCTCTCTCTCTCTCTCTCTCTCTCTCTCTCTCTCTCATTGCCCCTTTGGAAACTAGGTCAGTGTCAGTTCATGCCATTAGCTTATGACTTTGGTGCATGTGTGTGTCTGCGTTAGTTTGTGCATGTGTGCATTGGTGTTTGCATGTTCATGTTCAGCAAGCACTAATGCTTATCTGCCACTTGGCTTAAGAACTGCCTCCGAACTGTTTGTTTTCATGCTCTGTGCCGGTGGATTGAAATCGAGTCTGCATTTGTGTGTGTGTGTGTGTGTGTGTGTGTGTGTGTGTGTGTGTGTGTGTGTGTGTGTGTGTGTGTGTGTGTGTGTGTGTGTGTGTGTGTGAGACGCGATGATGATTAGGGGGTGGGGGATTCCAGGATTCTTACACGAGGCAGCAGGCAGATGTGGGAGAGTTGAATCAAAACTTTTCTGTTGGCCAACTTCAAAAGGCAACTTTCCCTCCAGTGTAGGTCTCTCTTCGCTCTCCATTCCTCTGCCGTTTCCTCATGCTTTGGCCGGCATCGCACACTTCTCATTTGGATTTTAACAAACACCAGGAGGGATAATTCAGTGAATATTTGTCATGCTGAGACTTTCTGTTTGTGGTTTTCTTAGAGAATCTGCGGCCTCTTTAACAGCTCAGAAAAATACTCTATATTGTTTTTATCATCTTGATATTTTTTTTTATTTGATGAGAATTTCCTCATAAATGTGTTTTCGAACCAATTACATGTTTCAAAGGCTCCTTAAAATAAGACATTATTATTTAGTGTGGGTCTCTTAGAACCAGTTTATTTATATGCACAACTCCTCTCTAAAGTGTTTGGATTTCTGGTATTATTGTTTATAAAACAGTGTTTGACCCTAAACATTAACATCACTTTGTATGATAACATACCCTACATTTATTTGAATGACTTTTTGTCAAATAAATGGAATACATAAATATTCATGTATAGCCAACAGTGACATATAAAGCCAGACAAATGTTCCTTGTTAGATGTAATAACATTGCTTTATGGCAATTTCCGTCATCTTCATTGAATGTGATAGCTTAGTTTGTGTCAAAGGGAAGGGATGGCATTTTAAAAGTATTGTTAGCCTTCCACTCGATGGCAATGTAGCTCAGTGGACATTTGCTCCAACACTTTGTCCTACACTGATATATCTAAATTATA